TGTGAACTGTGAAATTTTAATACCATGTATATTGCATGCAAAAAAATAAAAAAGCTTAGACTTGCAAAGCATAATGTGAGAGCAACAAATTTATTTGATGCTGATATATTCCAACCTGATAATTTAAAATAATGATGTTCTGCAGACACCGAGTTCTTGAAATTGCTATCTAAGCCCTGCATCATTTGGGGCCCAGCCAGGCTAGGAAGTGTCAGGGGTGGTGGACCTTGCTTCCGGCTATGAAAACCAATCATAGGTCCTCTTCTATAAAAGTCAGAAGATATAAATGATATTTTTAGAAATTATCTCTAGCTGGGATTTTTGATTGACCTGCTCTTTTGAGGGAGATGTTTACACTCCTGAAGATTCTGATTCAGTTTTCCTTCTCCTTTATTTCTAGCAGCCTTGCTAGCACAGAGCCTGTCTAAGATTCCTTCCCATTAAATGTGTCCTTCAGGTTTTTGTTTGTTTTTGAGCATGAGAAGGTACTGTAATATTTATGCAGAAAATTACACTTGACTGTGATTCTTGGCTGACTCTGGGATGACTCAGATGCTCTTTTCCTCCCTCTGGCTGATAACTGCCAGCACAGGTTGTCCGTCAGTCAGCAACATTTGTGGGGTGCCTATGGTGCGCAGAACGCCAAAGAGAGGAGCTACGGTTTTGCTTTTAAGGTGCTCGCAATACACTGGGCCAGTCTGGACAAGCACGCAGGATATATGCGTAATGTGCAACACATGACACAGAAGTATACATATGTACTAGCAGGACCAGCCTGGGGCAAAAGTGACAAGTAGGGGGCTCTGAGTTCTGCTAGGTCCCATTTTCCATTTTCCTTTCTCTAATTCTAGATGCTGCTTCACACAGTCAACAAATATTTATCAAATGCCTCCTGTACATAACACCCTTGAGTAAGTGACGGATACTGACTTCCAGAGCTTCCTACCAAACCAGTATTTTCTGGAGTGTTGCTCTTGTTCCAGAACCCACCCACCCCAATCCTCTCTCCCAGTTTCAGGTTTCTCTCTCCCCTTAGGGCTCTTTTCTCAGCTAGCTATAAAGAACTAAGTATTCATTTTTTTTTAAAAAAGATTTTATTTATTCATTTGACAGAGATAGAGACAGTGAGAGAGGGAACACAAGCAGGGGGAGTGGAAGAGGGAGAAGAAGGCTTCCCGCCGAGCAGGGAGCCCAATGTGGGGCTCGATCCCAGGACCCTGGGATCATGACCTGAGCCGAAAGCAGACACTTAATGACTGAGCCACCCAGGCGCCCCGAACTAAGTACTCATTTAAACAAAATTTAAAAGTCTCACTAAAGCATGACTAAGGAGTTACAATTGAATGACTTTTATTAGCCCAAAGGGATGACTCTGTAATGGTGAAATTACAGAAGAAAAGGCAACTGGATAAGAGAAGATGTATTTTGAAAAAAAAGTCTATGAGGTTTCCTTTTTTTAGATAGCATTTTTTAGATCTGGACTTGCAAGGCCAACACTGCAGGTGTTATTTCTATCTAGGTCCTCAGTGAGATGGAGGAGACAATAGTATGTATATTCCCCTTGACCTTAAAATCCAAACAGCTAGGCTGCCCAGAGAAACAGTTACCTGAAACTAGGAGAATAATGTGCTTTTTCTACCATGTAATTGTTTTTCTAGAATATAGAACATTATTTTTAAAACAGTGCGCTGAAAAAGAACAAAATAAAATAAAACAGAGCTTTGATCAGTAACTGTTGCCTATAGATAAGGCGCAAGTTAGAATAAGAATAAACAAATACAAACCTTTAAATGCTGTACGACCTCTCTCATTAACCAACAACTCATTCTTTGTTGCTTAAGTGACCCTAATTTAGTCCTTGAGGTGAGTTGAATTAACTTGCCCAGTCTGACTCCTGAGGGCTCTGTCTGGTTCACATGAATTGTGCATAGTTGTTTCAGACCAGATCTTGTCTTTGATCTTTATCAGCTTGAGTCTCTTGACCTGTTTACCCCTTACCAGCTTAAAAAGCTCTTGTTTATCCTTCTAAAATTCCTACTACTCATCTTTGGGCCTGTATCTGGAGGCATGAACAGAAAGAAAATAAAAGTATATCCTAATCGCCTTGGGCCATGAAGACAATTGTTTCTGTTTCAGAAAAAGTTCTCCAACCCCCATCCCAGCCTCTTGCCATATTTGAGTGTTTAGGGTGTTCAACCTATCCTTTTCCCAACTCAAACTCAAAATAATTAGAAATGAGAATTTCCAAGCTCAGTTTACTAGAGAACAGTTTTTAATGAGGAATATAGTTTTAAAACCAAGAAATAATGTCCTTTGTATCCCTTAAGTCTTTTCATAGACAATTTACTCTGTCTACCTTAAAATGGGGTTTGTAATTATAACTGAAGTATTGTTCGGATGAGTACAGGGACATGTCAACGTGTGAATTCCTTACAGAAACATGAACCTGAAATGATGTATTGAAAGAAAGAAATATGGCATAATTCAACAGAGGGAGGCATGAACTTTGAAGTGTGGGAAATCATATGTGTAAATACCTAAAGGTGAGAATTAATTAATCATGTACTGAGAATAGGAAACTGGTTTCCTGACTTTATCTGGGAACATGGTAGAAGATGAAAACTTTTGGAGAAAAGAGAACAAAATAAGCAAAAGGTCTTGAAGTTATGGTTGCAAAGAAAAGTTTGCGGAAGTGATTGAGACATGGAAATTCTTTTCACCCCGTCAGTTAAGTCTACATTTCTGAGACTTCCTAGCCATTTCTCCTATGAATATTGGAAATTTTTCCTGATTTAAATCCTGAAAAAATGATCTGTTAATACTGCTAACTTCCTGATACAATATTAGGCATCCCACAACATTATTTATGAGAAATCGATACTACACAGTCAATTCTGCAAACCAATTTCCATCCTAAGGAGCCTCTTATGTAGAAGTGTTGGGCATTTGCACATTGTTGAAAATAAATCATTGTAGCTTCTGGGAATATGGTAGACTAGGTACCTTGACTGACCTTCTTGATAAGAATAATTAAAAATGTAGAATTAGAAAAAATTTTTTTCATTGTTTGAATATATTAGTGAACTGGAAAGCTAGTAAGAAATAGTCATGGATCAAAAACTAATTGAAGGCAGGAACCCTGAGGGGTAAGCAGAAGGCGGAAGTCAGTGTTCACCTTGAGGGCTTTTTTTTTTTTTTTTTTTTGCCTTGGAGCATAGAAAGGACAGATGGGAGAGCCTGAGCTTGCCCAAGTTGGGAAACATAATAGCAAACAAAATTCAGGTACAGCCCTGTTTACAAAAGACTCATCTGAAGCTAAATACAGACAAATTCAAAGTAAAAGGATACAGAAAAATACATCAAGCAAATATCATTCAAAAGAAACCAGTGGTACATCTATGTAAATATCTGGGGAAGCTGTACTTTACCACGTGAAGTGTTACTGGATATAAAAGATTAACCTTTGGTACTGACAAGCACAGGATACAGGTGTAAAGAGAAAGTGAATTAGTGGTGCCTAGGTGGCTCAGTAGGTTAGGAATTCAACTCTTGATTTAGGCTCGGTTCATGATCTCAGAGTCATGGGATCAAGCCCCAGGCTGGGCCCTGTGCTCAGGAGGAGTCTACTTGAGATTCTCTCTCCCTCTCCCTCTGCCCCTCCCCCTGCTTGCTCTTGTGTGCGCACCCATGCTCAAAATCGCTCTCTCTCACTCTCAAATAAATAAATAAATGTTTAAAAAGAAAATAAATTAACACCCCCTTTCAGGAAAATAATTGGCACTATCTATTAAAATATTAGATTACATAAAACACACACGTGTTTCAACCCAGCTAACCCACTTTTCATAATATTTTTTGCCCTTTCGTGCTCGCTTCGGCAGCACATATAATATTTTTCGCCCTTTCTTCCTTAGGATTTGGAGACATGACTTTGATGAATGAGATTAAGTTTTCGGGGAGTAGACACTATAACAGATAAATGATGTAAAGCCTGTAAACGTAAAGGTTGTAAACCCTTAAATGCTGAAATGAAAAATAGTGACTCATGGTTAAATGGAAGAAAGGAGATCAATAACGAATATAAGTAAAACGATGTTGCAGAGTAAAAATGTGGCCATTTTAAATAATCTTGTGTTTGGTAGACATCAATGTTCAATTGAAAAACTAGCCTCCGGGATTATTTGGAGGTCCCCCTAATAGTTAGGATGGAATAAGCCCCCTCCCCCCACTCAAAACAAAACAAAACAAAAAAACCCCAGGAACGTCCCTCCGAAAATCAGGATCTCTGATCATTTGATTCTGTGGAACCTCAAATAGACCCCATGACACAGCAAGGAATGAAATGCACAAGGATATACATGAAGTAGGACAAGAAATTCCTATTATGGTGATAAAGTTGGACTCTTGAGGGCTGAAGTCCCCATTTTCCCCAACACAAAGCCTAAAAGGGAACAAGACATTGGTTTTAGGCTCCTTTGATCTGGAAGATTTCTCATTCTGAGTGGGCTTCGGAGACCACAGAATTCGCTCAAGGCTCTGTGGGAATTCAGCAGGCATGGAGCCGTGTCTGCTCCCTCCATCATCCATTCATGATCTTGTATATTAGTATTTCACAACTTGTTTGTTCATTTGGGGAAAAGGAAGTAAAACTAACTTTTGCAGAGTCTTAGTTGGTACTGGGGGTTTGGCATCTACCATAAAGGTTTTGAAATCCCACACTAAGTACAATAGATTTCTTTATAAAAAGAAAAAAACTCCTTATTTGTTAAACCATTATTGGCACAGTAATTATCGTGTTCATTTTCAACAAATGATAAAACTGCTACTTCTACTACTTCTACTTCTGTACTCAACTCTTAAGAATCTGAGAAGTTACAAATGTATATTCATAAAGAACTAAAAGGAAGAGAATCAAAAACTTGGAAATTTATGATAGATAACTTATTATACAAAAGAAAGAACTTAACTTATTTATGGAAATAAATATGACAGCACAGATCTTCCAAAACTCACACACATTCTTCTGCTTAAATTACACATTATCTTGGTGGAAAAAATAACACTCTTTACTCTTTCAGTTTCTTTATTTGAAAGTACCTATAATTCCAGAGGGATATCACATGTTACACAGACCTTGGTAGGACCACAACCAAGTCAAATCTAGAGTCAAAGATGCTTCAAAGATTCCAAGAAATGATTTGAAAACAAACTTAACAAAATGTGTATTAGGTCAGGTCCAGGGTCCATCCAAACTGTACCCTGTCTCTGACTGTGTCACCAGAGAAAAATCTGTAAACCTTCAAGATATCACTCCAAAATGGATTGGTTAACACCCTGCCCACCTTGCCCCTGCCCCAATATCCCACCTTCCCTTAATAGCCCAGATAAGTTAATCAGCTGTGTATTGATTCAAATTTTTCTAGAACATGTTCATATCTTCATACTGATTTATATGTGAGCACATGAATTTATTAAATTTACATCCTGATATTTAAGAGTGGTGGTTTTGGGGTGCCTGGGTGGCTCAGTTGGTTAAGTGACTGCCTTCGGTTCAGGTCATGATCCCGGAGTCCCGGGATCGAGTCCCACATCAGGCTCCCTGCTCAGCAGGGAGTCTGCCTCTCCCTCTGACCCTCCTCCCTCTCATGCTCTCTGTCTCTCACTCTCTCTCTCGCAAATAAATAAAATCTTAAAAAAAAAAAATTTTTAAGAGTGGTGGTTTCTTTATTCATTCCAAATAGCTTATTAATAAAACAAGTAAGAGAAGCATCTGGAAAAGTGTTTCAGAGATCAGGAGTTTCCCTAAAAAATATGAAGAAACGCTAAAACTGGGTTATAAAATACGATGATTCATTTAAATATTTACATTAGCCATGAGTTAACCAGAAACATACACAATATAATCTGATTTTGCAATTTTCAAAAGATATATTTAAAATGCGATAGTGTACAGTTTAAAGTAGTTGAGGTATCATCATCCTCTCCTCTACCTCTGTGCCTGCAGATTTTACTGCCTGTGGAGATGACCTCAGAAGGCTATCCTTGAGGCTCTTAATGAATGTGAGGCTCAAGCCAAGCAGCCCTCCTTGCTTTGTGGGTAAACCCTGACACCGAGTTTCTAATAATCTGAGATTTGGTGAAAAACTCTCTGTTTTCCTGAACCTTATACTTCATAATTTGATTCAGATTTTCCATGAATGGTAAAAATTAAATGAACTATTCAGGCTGAGATGAAGGAAGCAGAAAGGGAGGAGATGAAAGGATGCAAATGAAAGATTTTTTTTAAAAGAATTGGCTGTGTTTCCTTAAAGGTAAAACTGGCTGGGCAAACTCCAGGATACTAAGCAAGGTTAGAAAAAAGCATCAAAAAAGCAAAAAAGTAGCATGCTGTAAGGCCATGTGGATAGTATACGATGTGGCTAATCTATTACAGCTATGTCCATATACCTACATTCACATCTTCACGTATCTTCATTATTCAGGAAGTTTACATTTAAATAGGCTACTGAACTGGACTTCCCCCACCTCAACATCATACATCTGTCAGCTAGAGACAACAGCTGAGAGCAGGCAGCTGCAGTGGCTGGTTTCTTGAGGCTTCTTAATGGTTTGGACAAAATATCCAGGACTTTGACTTGAGCTTTATTGACTTCATGCCCACATGTGATGTGCTCTTTCTACTGACCATTTAAGAACTAACCAGTAGCCAAGTCCTCAGAGTGGGAAGATTCTTCTCCAGCCACTTAATATTTTTGGATATAGTTTCCAAAATAATTTGAAAAATATCCAGATGTAATCCTTGGGCCTTAAGGGATTCAAAGAACAGTTTCACCTGAAAAATAAGCAAGAAAAATATTACTGACATGGTTCATAAAATACTTGCTCTTGCAAAGGGTTTCAAAACAGCTTGCAAATTATACAAATACCAGAGTAATAATTTCTCTGCCAACCTTTAAATGGTTATTTTCTTCTCTTCTTTTAATAATTATTATTTCACTTTATCTTCAAACAATGTAAGACAGGAATGATAAATCCTCATCTTATAAGTGAGCCCACTGTGGGTAAAAATGTTAAATGATCAAGCCAAGCCATACAGGAAGTAGTGAGCCAGGATTTAAGTTCTAGAATTCTGAGTTTCCTTAAAGGGTAAGTAATTCAAGATTTATTTTGGAAAGAAGATGTAAAACATTAGAATGCTTTTTAAAAAACAGTAGAATTACCAATCATAGTAGTTTTGTTAAAAAAGACCTTAAATACTCTTCCAAGCTTCAATATAGTTACTTCTGTGATGATACACTATGAAGGAAATAATAAGCAAGGACTCATCTCTCAAGTGTAATTTTCATTTTGAGTGCTATGAACACCTGTATTTTAAGAGGTTCTGGTCCTGTCCCTTCCATTCACTTGCTATGTAACATTGGACAAACTACCTATTTTCTTTTAATAAATGAGAACTTTAAACCAGATTACATCTAAGTTCACTTTCAGTTTTATGACTTGAACATTTATTTTTCAGTTATTAGCAGTAGAGAGTCACAAACCTCTTGCAACTCATCCTTGGAAGAGAAGTGAGATGTTGTGCCAGAGATGATCATTCTCATGGCATATGAGCCCAAGTCAAATCTGAAAATGAAAAGGAAACCCACAGATTTAAGTAATAGGAATACTGGCCTTATCTTTATGATATCATACGTTTTTAAAATATGACATTAATAACTATATGGTAAGCTTGTACATTAAAATATATTCTATTAATTACCCTAAGAATAACTTATTCATCCAGTAAAACCCCAAAGCTATAAAATGTATCACGTTTGACCACAAGATAAAAATGCAGACAAAGCCTTTTTAGGAACTGTAACTAGCTTATTCGGCAGTGTTTATGTTTAAATTTATGTTTACGCTCAAAGCAGCATTCTCTCTGTTTTTTTTTTTTTTTATTATGCACTCCATTGGTAAAGATTTTTTGCCCAAGAACTTCCCAAATATACATATTTCTATTTATGTATTATATGGATGTACTATGTTATAGGTTCAACAGAAAATATGGGGCGCCTGGGTGGCTCAGTTGGTTAAGCCACTGCCTTCGGCTCAGGTCATGATCCCAGGGTCCTGGGATCGAATCCCACATCGGGCTCCCGGCTCAGCGGGGAGCCTGCTTCTCCCTCTCCCACTCCCCCTGCTTGTGTTCCTGCTCTCGCTGTCTCTGTCTCTGTCAAATAAATAAATAAATAAAATCTTAAAAAAAAAAAAAAGAAAATGTAATAGCATAAGAACTAATATATGTAGTAATATGTTCTCCTTGCACTCTCATGTACTGTCTTGCACACTTCCCCATCCCATTTTGGAGATCCACTGCATTTATACCCTGAATTTTGTGGGGGGCAATGTTATTTAGTTGAACTCTTCATTTGCAGCCACAGAGCACATCCTTCACCCCAGTGTCTTATACAGAGAATTTATACCATATGTCAAAGGGATTCGTGCTGAAAAGCAGAGCACAGATAAATCCCAGAAATGATTCCAAGTCCAGGCTGTACACATGGTCAGGCAGGAGGATCATTTCCAGTGACAAAGGAAATCTATGGCATTGAAGAAAAAGTCTGTTCTTTTCAGGGGAGGGAACTGATAGTCATGCAAATGACCCAACAAATGATTCCAGTGATCTTTAAGGAAACACACACACACGCACACACATTATATACACACACACACACACACATATATACATATATATATTTTTTAAGCAGTTTCTAACTGGTCCCATGTGAATGTCAAACCCCTTAAAAGCCTGGGAGAAAGGTGAAAATGCTCTTTTTGCTTACACAAAGCTGTGGGGACTCTGAGTCCTTCATGGCTAACAAATGAGAGGGAAGAGAAACAGGGGATGACTGAAATCAAAGATACTAACTGACACTAAGATAAACAGAGCAGACTGCACAGCTCTCAGATTCAGGATATTTTCCATAGAGTTCGTAAGTGACATTTTGGTTTTGGATAAGGAATAGCTGAGCCCTTAGCAGGGGTTTGTTGAGAGAGAAAGCAATGCCATCCTGTACCTTCCAATGACGTCTAATCATTATTGATCCTTTATGGGGGATATTTTAGGCCCAGGAGCATGCTGGAGTGAGCTCTGGTTCTCCCAAGAGTTGAAACCCCAGAAAAGACTCAGAACTGATCGTGGTTTGAAGGGGCGGGAAGTAGGACTCCCAAACACTTCTGATCAGATTTCTTTCATCTCCTCTAAGCTCTCCACTGGGCCACTTCCACAGGGGAACTGAGCGGGGGGGGGGGGGGGGGGGGGGGGGGGGCGGGGCGGGGATTAGCTCTCATCAAAATTCCTGAAGCTCTCCATTAACAAAGCAAGCCAAATGTATTTGATGCACTATATATGGCTTCCCTGGATTCTTCTGGGCTGGTGCATGGGGCTGATGACTGGATTTTTTTTTAAAAGATTTTATTTATTTGACAGAGAGAGACACAGCGAGAGAGGGAACACAAGCAAGGGGAGGGAGAGGGAGAAGCAGGCTCCCTGCCGAGCAGGGAGCCCGATGTGGGGCTCGATGTGGGGCTCGATCCCAGGACCCTGGGATCATGACCTGAGCCGAAGGCAGACGCTTAACGATTGAGCCACCCAGGCGCCCCTGATGACTGGATTTAACTCATCTCACACTTACTCCCAGCAGTTCTTCTTTGCCTGGACTGAGTGAGAGAAATCTCTTTTCCACTCACTTCTCACTCCTCTCCTCACACCTGGACAGAGTAATTCAGGCTCTTAAGTTTTCAAACAAATAGAGTTCATCAAACTATTTGGGTAGAAATAGGATCATTTATATGCTTTGGGGGACACATCATTGTACTTGGTTTCAGGCGACTGAGCCATCTAGGTAGAAGAACATACACTGGATGTAAATGAATACCAACTTTTTTAGGAGATGGGTCCAATTTTCTCTTAAAAAATTCCAGGATAATTGCTGCCCCTTCGGATTTCTGGCGATCGCATAAAGAAGAAGGGACAACTCCTGTGTCTTGATGACTTCTCCTTCCATTCCTAGTTCAATTAATCTGAAGAAATAAAAACCATTTGACTTCTCATTGTATGTGTCATGTAATGGAAATTAACTCAGGCTACTGATATGTGAAGAGAATACAAGAGAAAGAGGCATGATAAAATTATAATTTACTAAAAACAGTAATAAATTCCTTATTGGCTAACATTTTTGATGTACCAGTTGAACTTTTAATTTTTTCTGGCAGTAATTTTGTTCACTTATTATTTCAAAGAACTTTAATTTCGCATTTTGTACAACATCTTATACACAAGAATGCATTCTTGTGATCATTTTTCTCCAAGGTTTTGAAAGTAAAATGTAACCATGTGTCCAATATCGGCCACCTGGTTAATAACTAGGAATATCTGTTTTTACCATTTGCATTATGTATTTTTTGGAAGTAAAATCAAAGCAAATCAAATCTTGATTCAATTCTTTTATGCCTTTGAAGTTGCTGGCCAATATTTTAGTGACTTCATTGAATTTGTATCAGTTTACTTTTAACAAGTTAGTTAAATTAATGCACTTACTTCATTAACTTTTCCTGATGTTTGCTGGTTGACAATGCATACAGAATTTTCTTTTTTTCAGCACCTGACATGGACAGTCCATATTGCTCTAAAAGGTAATTCCATCCTACTGTTGTCTGAGCACCCACAGAATACACAACCTTTAAAACATCTGATGGAATGCTGTAGTATGAAGAACAAAATGAAGAAAAAAGTCCTATGAAACAAAAAACCTTTTTTTCTTATTACAATTTTAAATTGCAATAACAGAATCACCCCTGAGTTATTTTCAGTAGTGTGTTAAACCCTTTTTTCTGTCAAACTTTTATAAAAATATTTTATGTAATTCTACTTTGCAAATTATTTGTGGAGTTTTTTTTCCTTAAGATTTATTTATTTTAGAAAGAGGCAGGGGTGGCCGGCAGAGGGAAAAGGAGACAAGCAGACTCCCCACCAAGCAGGGAGCCCTACACAGGGCTTGATCCCAGGACCCTGAGATTATGACCTGGGCGAAAATCAAAAGTCGGATGCTTAACTTATTGAGCCTCCCAGGCACCCTGTAGGGTTTTTTCCCCCCCATTGATGATAAAATATTAGCAAGGAGACTAATCATAAAATTTTGACTTACCCAGAGATGAAAATAGAAACTTTATAGAATCAATAAAAGAGATGATTTCTGACATATAAAAGTGTTGGTTTATATAGAATTCTAGAATTGAATAATCTGTATTGGTGCTATGTGATTTTTTTTATAAAACATGATTACTTGCTGCTTTAATATCACATTAAGAGTATTTTCTAATAGGACTGTCTGAGAGTCATCTGATTCTCTGGGTCTAGAAAATTGTTATTTAGCACAATTGATTAGGTTCAGTCATTTTATAATTTGTAAAACTGGCAAGATGTAATAATAAAATTATTTTCTGCCCACATAAAGAAGATACCACAATTTTGGGGTTTTATTGCCCTGTAGAATATTAACTAGTTTTGATTCCAATTTGGTCTGTGGTTTTTAATTCCAATATTGTTAGATCAGTAATAACTGATATTCATTTTGATGGCTCAGGAAAACCGCAACAGAGGCATAGGGATGGGGCAAGAAATTTGCATTTATCATGCAGTGACCATATGGTAGGGATTGTACGAGTCTCTATACATCGTATTTAACTGTCAAAGCTACCTAGTGAGATAGTTATTATCCTGATTTTTAAAAAGTGGAAATAAAGCTTGGAAGGTTAAGTAACTTGCACAAGGTGATATAATTAGCCATTCTGAAGATGGGATTTAAACCTATGATTCTAACGCTTGTATTATTTCCACTATATGTGCTTAAATATCCCAAGTGCCAGTTGAATCACGTAACAAAGATTAAGCAATTAAATTATAATCTACTTGTTTTGATTTTAGTATATGTACTGTAAAAATTTATGAAAATTGATAACAAATCACACTGTAGTTCCTTGAAGGTAGGGCACATAGTTGTTTTGTTGACTATTTTATTCTTGGTACCTACAAGCAGTGCCTGGTTCACAGGGAACATGCAAAGAATTATATTTTGAGTACACAAATGAATGAAGTTATTAATCTATGTAAGAAGATTCTTCATTAGGATTACTACTAGTGGTCTTGAAGTTTAGGGGAAAAACCTATGATATTTAATTATGTATTAATGGATTATAAGCATAAATGAGCTTTATAATTTCATAAGTATAGCATCCAATTAAACTTGTTGCACTCTCATATCTAACCTAGAGGGGTGTTGCTGCAGGTAAGATCATCCCTCTTGTAACAAGCATAAAGATGGAATAATATCTCCTTATGTTAGAGGGCAGCAGGATGTTTACATTTTAGCCCCACTCCTACCACCCAGTCAAACATGAACAAAAAGAAGAGAAAAACAGAGCTAAAAGATCCTTTTCCTAAAACTGATTTTTGGCTCAAATCACAACGACCAGAAAAGTACAAAGAAGAATGCTAGAATTAATGTTTCTAAAAAGAAGAATTCAAGAAAGGATTTCAATAAGCTCACCGAGATTCATTTAAATGGAGAGACATTATGATAGCTTATCAGCAATCTGGCACAGGAAAAATGGACACCATTACATTACACAGTACCAAAATTGTGAATTTTTTTCTTCAGTTTTAAGGAATGAATTTTCCTTGATTCACATACAGGTTTGATTTCTCAAAACATCCAACTCTAGAGTGAGAGTTTTAACGACAATGATATAAAATCATGTGTTGGGCAGAAATCAAGGCTTACGTTGAAAAGATTGTGGCATCTGTTAGTATTTCTGGATTGTAACTGCTAAACTGAACTGCAACATAATCCATGTGATCACTGGGCATCTTCCTGATTGTAATAACCACCAGAATCCATTTTGCCACCATATACACACTTTTGATGGCCCAAGTCATCGGTTTACCATCAAATACGAAATTTGGGGTCAAAATTCGGGTCTGTGGTATTGGGTAATGAAGTAGTAAATAGACTTTTTAAAAAGGTATCCTCTCCTTTTTTTTAAAAAAAAAACAAGTTTTAACAAATTATTGCTGATGTTTTGACTGCATGTACATTCACATTGCTTTTTATCTTTAAAAGACATCACTTTTGGAGCTTGGGCACCCCCCCACTGCAACTTCTACCCTCTCGCTTTCTGTTACCATGCCAATGGTTATTAGCTCTCCCACTAAAGGGACCTAAACCTCACTTCCCACAAAATCTATTGAGCACTTACTATATGGGAGCATGAAACAATGGTTTGTAATTCCCAGCATGGCTTTCCCCTACCCAGCCCCCCACCATCCTCACTGAAAGGTTTTAGATCTAATGTCTTGCTTGATCAAAGACTTTTGCATCAAAGTGAAAGGAACAAAGAACAGGACAGATGTCTAGATTTACTTTAATTTTCCACTGGATTCCATCCACTGAGAGAAGAGTTCAGTTGCCTTCTGGATGCAAGGAGCATGGTTCAGGTAACAGGCCAGTTTTAAGATGGTTGATCGAAGCATCCTGTCCCAGACAGAGCCCTTGTCACTCCAGCTTTGCGTGTCAATCACTGGCTTAAAATATCGGAGAATGTAATGCTGCAGAAAGCACAGGATGATTTACAGAGAGGCTAAATTTAGTACTTACCACAGCTCTTACCCATTGAAAGGGGTCAACTTTAAACTGTCTGCATGAATCTTCCCCAAACACAGAATTATTTGTATTTTTCTCCTCATTTTCTGGGCCCCACCTACCATACTTAAATGGAGTTTTTACATTAAAAATAGGATTTAATTTCCTATCTGAGGGGTGAATATCAATTGACAAAAGATAAAAATCACATTTAGGAGGAATATTTTGCTCATGATCCTGATGGGATCTTCTTAGGTTGGTGATGACAAGGAGCGAGGATTTCCAACAATTCAGAGCAGTGGTCTTGACTGTGCCATCAGCCAGTTCCCTCGGCTTCTTAAAGATTTATCCCCAGGAGGTCACACAAACAGACCAAGACTCACCCATCCTCCAGACACTCTGTTTACTTAGTGAATTTTCTGGAAGTGATACAAACCTTGAGGTTTTCCGTGACATCTGAAACATTCTTTCTGTCCATCATGTGGTAAAACAATTCTAAGTATTCCAGACCTTTGAGAAGTGCGGGGATGCTTGCTTCATGTTGGAGATAGCGAGTCAGGTCAAGGGCTTTGTCTAGGGTCAACCTTCCTGCACTGAGGGACGAAACAAGTTATTGTTGGTTTGTACGTATCTTATAGTTCTTAATATTCTTAATATGAACACAAATATGATCTAGAGAGCAATAACAGGAGCAGTTCATTATAGCTAGACCATTGGGTTTAAGTCCTATTTCTGCCACTGACTAGCTGTATGATCTTGGGCAAATTACCGAACCTCTCCGGGCCTCAGTTTCATGCCCTGTACATGAAGATAATATTAGTATCTTCTACTGTTGTAAGTATCAAATGACTTCATATGTGTAGAGTGCTTAGAGTCATCCCTAGCACACAGTAAGAGCTTTATAAATGAAATATTAGCTAATATTAATATTTAGTACCAAATAATATCAAGGTTTTCATATGTTATGTCGTTCTCTAATTGTTTCATTTGTGGATTTGAATTGCTCCTCCAAGTGAATTTGGAACTTTGAGGACAGGGGCTGTGTCTTTTCTTTTTTTAATGTCCCTCCTAGAGCCTAACAGAGAAGTAGTGATTATTCCGAGTGGGACAAAAAAAGTACTTTCATCCTTTTTTAGAATCTATTTAGATCCTAAGTTATATGCCTTCTCTGTATTTTCTTTTTAATGAGAAGAACAAACAACAAAACTATTATTCTGAATACCAAAACATTAGGGCCTCTTCTGCCGAGGAAATAAACCATTATATTGTCATTTTTGCAAAGTGGTTCTCACATGTGTTTGACAGGACTTGTGTCTGCACATGGTCTGTAAGCTATTATTGTCAGCATCCGACTCCCAGATTAAGCATAATAGTTTGATATGGAAACAGATTCCAGAACAAAGGACGTCTCTGTTGAATTTTTCATTAACCTAATGTGCTACCTCCTTGGGGTTTTTAAAATGTTCAATTCTTATCTAAAAAGAGGGAACTGAAACTAGAAAGAAGTGAAATTAAAAAGAACCAACTTTTGTCTGTGACTTTACTCTTCTTAAACACAATGATACACTGCTTTAAAACAGACTTATGGAAAAATTTCCACAATTTTTTTCTGAAGACGGAGCGCTAAACCATATGCACTCTGATTCTACGGTTTCCTGTATTTTTAAATGTATTAATCTACCAAATGTCACGATTCCTTCCCATATGTGTGTCATAATGTACAGTGCTGCTGATACCCTAGAGGATTAGCAACAGGAAAAACTAGGTAAAATATCCTCTTCAAAACACAATGTCTTAAACAATTTATATTAAATAATACTAATAATACCAACAGTTAACATTTATTGAACAGGTACTGTGCTTAGTGCTTTATCGGCATTATCTTATGCAATCCTTGAAACAAGCCTTTATATTAGATATTATTATTTAAAGCTGGAATTTTAAAGACTAGAGAAGTTTTAAAGACTAGACAATTTAGGCTTGAAATGTTTAGATAATTTGCCCAAGGTCAAACAAAAATTGAAGAGGTAATACTTGAGTCATCTATTTTAAACCAAAATTTGTACTCTTAATTAACTTCATTAACCTGTCCACCTAGTGAAGAAATATTATTGTTTTCCACTGATTCATTAATAACTGTAGGGTTCCTTCTGCTAAATTTAGACAACCCATAAATTTATTGGCTAGAAAGAGCAAAAAAGATTTTGCAACTACTTGAAAGATTGGCTTTCATTTGCTAAATTGTCAATATTCTTCAGTGTTCGTATTCTTACATTTTTAATCTATCTTCTCTGCAATCTACTCAGAGCTTCTCCTTTGAGCAGACAGACCTCCTTCAATGAACCGTGGCCTACTTCTCACCTAGTCTATCAAGTGTCCATCCACTCAGATGTGGGATGGCCACATCCTGGCCAATCCTGGCCTCCAATGTGCTCTGCTACCAGTGTTCCTGAGACATGTGGGGCTGAGGATTAAGCTTTCAATCTCTCCTTTTCTCCTAACTAGAGATTCTGTAGTTGTACGGAGAAGCTTCTCCTGAAAGGTGTCCTGCTGGTTACTCTCACTCAGTTTGACCTAGATAAACATCTGAAAGGAAATAATATGTCACACTGCATAAAATGAATATAGTAATTCTCAGAATAGGAAAAGCTTACAATGCACAATACTCCACCTGATCCCCAATTTTTTTTCCATTGGTGATCTTGTGACCTGATTTAGTCTACATATTATTCTGCTGATAATCAATGAGAAAAGAAAGAAAACACTTTGTCTTTCCAGGAAAGTCTAAGGAGGAATATACAAAAGTAGCCAATTCCTCCTTCATTTCCCTTTCAATTTCATATTTCTTCAGTGTGAACAAAGGAACGAATGGATTGTGCACTAGATTTAACATTTAAAATCATAAAGGTTAAGACTATATTACACTTGACTGTAAAGATGAAAATTATAATAGATTTTATAAAGAAGAAAAGAGAAATGACCCAAATAAATAAAATCATGAATGAAAGAAGAGAGATCACAACCAACACCAAAGAAATACAAACAATTATAAGAACATATCATGAGCAACTATATGCCAGCAAATTAGATAAGCTGGAAGAAATGGATGCATTCCTAGAGATGTATAAACTATCAAAACTGAGCCAGGAAGAAATAGAAAACCTGAACAGACCTATAACCACTAAGGAAATTGAAGCAGTAATCAAAAATCTCCCAACAAACAAGAGCCCAGGGCCAGATGGCTTCCCAGGGAAATTCTACCAAACATTTAAAAAAGAATTAATACCTTTTCTTCTGAAACTGTTCCAAAAAATAGAAATGGAAGGAAAACTTCCAAACTCATTTTATGAGGCCACCATTACCTTGATCCCCAAACCAGAAAAAGACCCCATCAAAAAGGAGAATTAGAGACCAATATCCCTGATGAACATGGATGCAAAAATTCTCACCAAAATACTAGCCAATAGGATCCAACAGTACATTAAAAGGATTATTCACCACGACCAAGTGGGATTTATTCCTGGCCTGCAAGGTTGGTTCAACATCCACAAATCAATCACTGTGATACAATACATTAATGAAAGAAAGAACAAGAATCATATGATCCTCTCAATAGATGCAGAAAAAGCATTTGACAAAGTACAGCATCCTTTCTTGATCAAAACTCTTCAGAGTATAGGGATAGAGGATACATACCTCAATATCATGAAAGCCATCTATGAAAAACCCACAGCAAGTATCATTCTCAATGGGGAAAAACTGAGAGCTTTTCCCCTATGGTCAGGAACACAACAGGGATGTCCACTATCACCACTGCTATTCAACATAGTACTAGAAGTCCTAGGCACAGCAATCAGACAACAAAAAGAAATAAAAGGCATCCAAATCATCAAAGAAGAAGTCAAACTCTCACTCTTTGCAGATGATATGATACTTTATGTGGAAAACCCAAAAGACTCCACCCCAAAACTGCTAGAACTCATATAGGAATTCAGTAAAGTGGCAGGATATAAAATCAATGCACAGAAATCAGTGGCATTCCTATACACCACCACCAAGACAGAAGAAAGAGAAATTAAGGAGTCAATTCCATTTATAATTGCACCGCAAACCATAAGATACCTAGGAATAAATCTAACCAAAGAGGCAAAGAATCTGTACTCAGAAAACTATAAAATACTCATGAAAGAAATTGAAGAAGACACAAAGAAATGGAAAAAGATTCCATGCTCATGGATTGGAAGAGCAAAGATTGTGAAGATGTCAATGCTACCTAGAGCAATCTATACATTTAATGAAATCCCTATCAAAATACCATCAACTTTTTTCAATGAAATGGAACAAATAATCCTAAAATTTGTATGGAACCAGGAAAGACCCCGAATAGCCAGAGGAATGTTGAAAAAGAAAATCAAAGCTGGTGACATCACAATTCCAGTCCTCAAGCTCTATTACAAAGCCGTAATCATCAAGACAGTATGGTACTGGCACAAAAACAGACACATAGATCAATGGAACAGAATAGAGAGCCCAGAAACGGACCCTTAACTCTATGGTCAACTAATCTTCGACAAAGCAGGGAAGAATGTCCAATGGAAAAAAGACAGTCTCTTCAACAAATGGTGTTGGGAAAATTGGACAGCCATATGCAGAAGAATAAAACTGGACCATTTCTTTATACCACACACAAAAATAGACTCCAAATGGTTGAAAGACCTAAATGTGAGACAGAGTCCATCAAAATCCTAAAGGAGAACACAGCAGCAACCTCTTCGACCTCAGCCACAGCAACTTCTCCCTAGAAACATTGCCAAAGGCAAGGGAAGCAAGGGCAAAAATGAACTATTGGGACTTCATCAAGATAAAAAGCTTTTGCACGGCAGAAGAAACAATCAACAAAGCCAAAAGACAACCGACAGAATGGGAGAAGATATTTGCAAATGACATATCAGATAAAGGGCTAGTATCCAAAATCTATAAAGAACTTATCAAACTCAACACCCAAAGAACAGATAATCCAATCAAGAAATGGGCAGAAGACATGTACAGACATTTTTCCAAAAAAGATATCCAAATGGCCAACAGACACATGAAAAAGTGCTCAACATTGCTCAGCATCAGGGAAATCCAAATCAAAACCTCAGTGAGATACCACCTCACACCAGTCAGAATGGCTAAAATTAACAAGTCAGGAAATGAAAGATGTTGGCGGGGATGCGGAGAAAGGGGAACCCTCCTACACTGTTGGTGGGAATGCAAGCTGGGGCAGCCACTCTGGAAAACAGTATGGAGGTTCCTCAAAAAGTTGAAAATAGAGCTACCACATGACCCAGCAATTGCACTACTGGGTATTTACCCCAAAGATACAAATGTAGGGATCCGAAGGGGTATGTGCACCCCGATGTTTATAACAGCAATGTCCACAATAGCCAAACTATGGAAAGAGCCCAGATGTCCATGGACAGATGAATGGATAAAGAAGAGGTGGTATATATATACAATGGAATATTATGCAGTCATTAAAAGGAATGAAATCTTGCCATTTGCAGCGATGTGGATGCAACTGGAGGGTATTATGCGGAGCGAAATAAGTCAGTCAGAGAAAGACATGTATCATATGATCTCACTGATAGGAGGAATTCTTAATCTCAGGAAACGAACTGAGGGTTGCTGGAGTGGTGGGGGGTGGGAGGATTGGGGCGGCTGGGTGATAGACATTGGGGAGGGTATGTGCTATGGTGAGCGCTGTGAATTGTGGAGGACTATTGAATCACAGACCTGTACCTCTGAAACAAATAATACATTATATGTTAAAAAAAAAAGAAAATAGTAGGAAGGGAAAAATTGAAGGTGGGGAAATCGGAGGGGGAGATGAACCATGAGAGACTATGGACTCTGAGAAACAAACTGAGGGTTCTAGAGGGGAGGAGGGGTGGGAGGATGGGTTAGCCTGGTGATGGGTATTAAAGAGGGCACGTATTGAATGGAGTACTGGGTGTTACAGGCAAACAATGAATCATGGAACACTACATCAAAAACTAATGATGTAATGTATGGTGATTAACATAACAATAAATTTTTTTTTAAAAAGACTATATTGCACTTTTTGTTCAACAGATTACATAGGTATTTGGTGAAACCACAAGCTACTCACCTAAATTTTAAACCTGGAGTCAAAAGCTTAAATGCTTAAATGCTCAACCTAAGTGAGTGAAACAGGCCACTCATGTACCATTTGGGACTTTGGTGCATGGGACAGTGAAGGCCTGGCTTCAGGAAGGATCTGCCACTGCACCCTCCTCTATGTGGAAATGAAGGTCCACAGTTGCCACATCTTCTCACTTTCAAAAGAGACTCCAGAAGTCAGGATTTGTATATAAATTTCCCCACATTTTAAAATGTCAGATTACATGTTTAAATACTGTATGGGTCAAAACACCTTATCAGTAGGTAGGCTTTGGTCTAAGTGGCCAGTATTTGACCTTCATTCAGATCCATCTCATACAAATGACCAACACTGAATATTTAATTTTGAAATCTAGCATATCTGGTTATGAATAAGTTATTTCCTGTGAAATCAGATGAAATTTTGCATTACCTTACTAGCTGAAATGCATCATGAATCAGACCTAGTCTGTCCTTAGGTCTGAGAAGTGTGTGGTTCTGATTCAGCTGTGTAATAAGTTGGTCCCATCCGTGCCCCTCATAGTGGACAATGTAGTAGCCATTTGAGTCCACATTGAATTTCACCCAACTGGTATTTTCAGATAATTCCAGAGTATCTAGGAGGAGGAAATTGGCATAGCATTTTGTTATCAGCATACATACCAGGACATCTCCAAAACTGTTAGTTCTCATGCTATTACTAATTAATCAGTGGGAAGACACAAAGTTTTGAGAGAATCATTATGATATTCATTTTCATAGTCTACTGAATGGATCTTTTTGTGGATTATGGTCTTATTAAATTGACAAATAAGTTAATTCATAGGAAAAGGGCTGCTAAATTTGTTCTCAAAAGCAGTCTCTGCAGGTCTAAGAGTCCCAGTTAACCAGATGATAAGCATGATTGGAATTTGACTTAATTCATTTGTGGCCTTGTTACTGGTCACTGAAATATGCATATGTAAATAGATGATCCATTGGTCTAGTCCTCATTTTGGATGAAATAAGGATTCCAGGTTGAACATGACATTATGATGGAAACCCTCTCACATTTCAGTGAGGTGTTCAAAAGAGAAATTAAAATTATATTATATATTTTTAATATGACAGACACTATACAATGTGGTAAAAATAACATTATCATATTCTCTCAATAGTTCTGTGAGACCTAGTCCCCATTCAAAATAAGATGAGAAAATTGAAGCTCAGGAGGAGTAAAGAAATTTTCTTGGGGTCACACATCTAATAGGTGACATAGTGAGGAGTTGAATCCAGGGCCAATTCGTTCCAAAGTGCATGCTTTTTTCCAATACATATTTTTGCCTTGTGGCATAAGCATTGGGTTAGTAGTTTTTAAGAGATATAAGATAGAAAGCCATCATTTCTTGATATAAATACAAGCCTATCTCTAAATGCTAAAAGCACAAAGGAAACTTCCCACTGAATAGAAAATTCAAATTTTCCAACTAAAGGGCTCTTTTAGTAACTAATAAATGGAGAAATAAGAACTTCCCCGAATATGAATCTTTTATTATGAGATTTACTTATAGTACCTTTCCTCCAAATAACCCAGAACATGTTTAATTTCAGAATTGAAACACCTGTTTGGCTAATGAGTTCATTACCTGTCCTTGATTTTAGAACATGTCTATGGATCACATTAGAGGAACTCGTGGAGTAGGTCAGTGGAATATGCCAGAGGTACCTATGTCAGAAAATAGAGATTGTTACAGACTAAATGAATGGCCCTTTTACTGTTCACACTGTTAGACTCGGATAGGCTGTAAAAGGCACCTAATGGCCCATCTTTCACACCTTCAGTGGCCTTATAAATTTTACAGGCTAAGACTTGCAGATCCTTGAGTATGCAAAAATTCTTCCATATGATTATATGTATACCTAGTTGAGCTCTGTCACAATTATCTGTGCCACCGCTGTCCAAATCTCATACCACAAATTCTGCTGATTGTTTTCTTCTAAGCAAGAGAAAAAAAAATCCAATCTTCCTTTCATATTTCCAAAAACTCTGGCGGCCTGATATTAATTCAAATAACCAAAGAAAACTTCAAGAAAAGCCTCAAGAGATAAAGATCTGACCTCAGTATGATTTCCACTTATCTTTTTGTTCAACAAAGCCACCCACACCCAACGCCTGCACTGGTAAGTAACTGTAAGTGGTCACCAAAGCCACAGTCTAGGATCTGTAGATCAGCCAAGTCCAGGGAGCAGAAAAGCAGAATGGATTGGAAGAAAAGACCAATTTCAATGGTACTCTGGTTACTTTTCAAATGTTATTTACTACAGTAAATAACAGAAATCAGCTAGTGTTTTTTTGACTTGCTAACAGGTTCTAGAATTCATTTCTTCTATCACACCAAGCCATATTAGCTATAGTAATCATGCACATGTAAAATGATGTGCTTGAAAATACCAACAGGTATAAAACAGAAAGAGGAATAACTGAGAATGTACCTATTGGTCTTCAGTAAAATATAAAGCAATGAAAGAAACAGCATATGCTGACTTTATCTAGCTAAATGTCAGAAGAGATAATCAACCTGCCAACCCGTAAAGTACCGATAATTAACAAAGCAACTGAAAAATTTATACAAAAAGGTAAAAATGGACACATAGATATTGCCAAGATTTAACAGAATGATCTGGATTGATCTTGGCTCCAGAAGGAAAGGAATTTTTTCCCAATAAACATAGCTGGGAGTGTAAAAGAGGGAGAGTAGCATTTCATGAGTTTGGATAGGCATGACTTGGACAGTAAGAATTTTATAAGAATCATCTAAATACTGCCTCGGTATTACATTGATGTGTTTTGTAATAGATCATCATTGTAATAGATATTTGTTATCCTGGCCCATCCACACCATTGAACTCCATCGTGACATTCTGATAAATTACAAAAGCGTGAATCCCGCCTTCCCAGTAACGAATCAAACATTAAATTTTCCAGGCTGTGGGGGCGCCTGGGTGGCTCAGTCGTTAAGCGTCTGCCTTCGGCTCAGGTCATGATTCCAGAGTCCTGGGATCGAGCCCCACGTCGGGCTCCCTGCTCGGCCGGGAGCCTGCTTCTCCCTCTCCCCCTCCCCCTGCTTGTGTTCCCCTCTCTCGCTGTGTCTCTCTCTGTCAAATAAATAAAATCTTTAAAAAAAAAATTTTTTTTTCCAGGCTGTGTTGTCAAGATATAAATTGTTTTAAGCTCTTTGAGGTTCAGACTTCAGAAGGGCACACAGAAAAATGAAATGATGTGTACACAGAGAAGTGGCATAACAGTTGCTGTTGGATTGGAAACAGGCAACTGACCAAATAGAAAAGAAAAACAATATATTCTCTGTGTTAAAGACCCTGAATTTGCTTCTGATTCTCAGAAAACTTCTACAATTGTTGTTAGACAGATAACATCCCTAGAAAAAGAAATAACAATCGTAAGAGCCAGTACAGATGCACTTGTATTATTTCATTTAAAATTGTCCTCCTTCATCTCATGGATAGAACTAATAGATCAGAGAAATGTGGACAGTGTTGTGTTTCTTGATTTTAGTAACGCCTTGAACGCGTCTTCTTAGGATAGGCTGGTGAACGAGATGATAGTACGGTTCATTGGATTTACTTTCATTATTACCATGACACATCATATGTTTTAAGACATCCCGTTTATGGTCAGTTACTGAAAAACAAAAGGCCACAAGAGGTTTAATTCACAGGATTCACAGGAAGGTAACTCACTGCCTAGGGGATATATTCTCTCTTCTGATAAGACGGGTAGCTGTCCTAACACTTTCTAGGTATGCGCTAGTCTCACAACTATGAGGCCCCAGAAATCGAGGATGGAAAAGAGTAGGACATATTTCAAGAGAAATATAAACTGACCGCGCTCTGCATCAGAGCTGAGCGGCTGCTGCGGAATTACTAAGAGCAGAGCTGCGCGGCAAGGCCGTCGGGGCCCGCCCGAAGCTCCTTAAGTCTGTTGTCAAGGCTCGCTCGGGCCTCTGATTCCCGTGTAGAAAGAGCATCCACCACGTTGCCAGAGAAACTGAAAGAAAGCTAATGGAACAAGGAGCAAGCTGAGATGAAGTGACCCAGGCGAAGAGAAGAAAAGCAGCCACCTCTCCTGCAGGGCCCTCCATTCAGGGTCCTCTTTGAAAACACCGCTCAGGAAGCGCTCCTGCTGCAGCCTGAGGGAACGCCCTTCTCGTGTAACCACCACCAGGGCGATTCCTTTCTGCTGAGTCCACGTCGTCATCATCTCCTTGACCTCCACGTTTTCCCCAGGAAGGCGAGCTGAAATGACAAGTGACTTTGGTGACTCGAGACAGAGGAGAGCAGAAACGCAGATCTCCTTGGATGCCAGAAACCAGGCTTGAGGAGGAAGAGGGGAGGCTTCCCGCTGTCACCTAGGGGCTGGAACGGGAGCAGGGCTGCCCCAGCGCAGCTCTCTGCATGCAAGTTAACTGAAGGAGGGATGTGTGCGGCAGCTAGAGGGTTAACATGTGGTGGCAAAGTCCCAGAGGAAGGCCTTGCTTGAGCCTGGAGCCTCCCCCCTGCTCCATTTAAAAAACAAAACAAAACAAAACACAAAAAAACAAAACAGGAAAAACAAAAACCCACCTCTCCATTCTAAGAACAGTGGAGTGGAGGTGTTTAGGAGAGAAATGTCTATCTTTAGGGGAGCGTTAAATATTCCAAAAGAACTATATCAATACATGTCTATTGAATGGAGAACAAAACCTCTAGCTTCCTAGCTTCTGTTATGGATTTCTGACCACTGGATTATGCTGAATCTTCCTTTAAAAACTACAATTTATGGGATTACCGTGACTCTTTTTAAAAAGAGTTCCCCTTTTCTTTCATGGTGACTTTTCTTTCTTCTCTACTAAAGTGGTCCACTAACTTCCCAGAAGTAAACAAAAAGATGGGACCTCAAGAAAACCATTCACTATATTTCCAAACCTAACATACTTGCTTTGGCATCTTTCTGAGCCTGGAGGATGCCAATGCATCCTCTAACCACGCAGAGGAATTCTGAGCTGAGATATTTTTAGCTAGCAGTGGGGTTGTGGGAAAGCTGAATTATAACAACAAAAATATAGTAGTAACAGCATCATCCCCCTAAATGGCCTGAACATTCCTTTTTCAGTCAACTTTGTTTCAAGGAAAATTGTGGAACTCTCTTCCTTTCCAGTTATTTAAAGGGACAGTTGATGGGGCACCTGGGTGGCTCAGTCAGTTAAATGTCCAACTCTTGGTTTCAGCTCAGGTCATGATCTCTTGGGTCAGGGGATCGGATGGAGCCCCACGTCAGGCTCCCCCCTGAATGGGGAGCCTGCTTGAAGATTCTCTCCCTCTGCCCCTCCCCCCACTCTAGCACTCTCTCTCTCTAATAAATAAATAAATCTTTAAAAAAATAAAGAGACAGTTAGGCTCATCTACATACTCACTTTGGGTATGTGATGCCCCAGACCTCTTCTACTCTATAAGTTTCTTTATACTTACTGTATTGCTTGTCATCTTGGAATCAGAATAACAAAATTCACCAGATGTAAAATCACCTAGACAGCTCTATAAAACAAGAATGGAAGAACACCACCATTTGGGTACTGATAGTTGGCTAAACATGCATATTAGACATGAATGTAGACATTTAATAGCTGTATGAAAATTTAATTGATCCAGACATGGTATGGAGCACAGCAATTCATGAAAATGGAAAAAAAAAAAAAAAGCATCTCTGTAGTGACCATAGGAAATCCACAAACTTACTTACATACATAAAACAAAAAGTAATTTTTGTGGATTTCCTATAGTCACTGCAAAGATGCCTTTTTTTTGCCTTTTTTTTTCATTTTCATGAATTGCTATGCTCCTTACCATGTCTGTCTAGATCAATTAAATTTATATATGTGTGTATACATATATATACACGCATATATTTCAAGTTTTCTAAAGAAGTACAATGTAGTAGAATAACTGTTTTAAAAATTAGTTTGTTGAATTTTTCTTTCATTTCTTCTCTTTCCTCTGGGAAAGGTCCTACTTTATTCTTTTATTGGGCATCCTACTCATGCCCCTGTTTAGCATTTAGGCAACTGTGTCTAGTACTAACCTTCTCCTACTGTATCACAAATCCCTTGATTGGGGAGAGGGAATGCCTTTGCTTACCTGGGCATTCCCAATGACTACCACAGTAGCATATAAAGAGAATAATAACTTTTGAATTCAGAATTAAAATGAGACCTAAGCAAATCAACCACTTGTCAATCAACCCTTAAATAACTAAGACTTAATGCTTAAGGGGAACTATAAATGGAAAAATAACACACTTTTCAAGGCTCTCAAATGCTTTTAAATGATTTTATGAAAAATAACAACAAAGAATTCCTCTAATTCCCAATTTGCTATTGACATGTATTAGAAATGATGTTACATGACACAGTGCTGAGTAAGATATTTACAGGAATTTATCATTTTCATACCACAGTTTCAGTTGGCATCAGAAAGTGGTCAACTAGGGCGCCTGGGTGGCTCAGTTGGTTAAGCGACTGCCTTCGGCTCAGGTCATGATCCTGGAGTCCCGGGATCGAGTCCCGCATCGGGCTTCCTGCTCGGCAGGGAGCCTGCTTCTCCCTCTGACCCTCCCCCCTCTCATGTGCTCTCTATCTCTCTCATTCTCTCTGTCTCAAATAAATAAATAAAATCTTTTTTTTTTTAATAAATAAAATCTTTAAAAAAAAAAAAAAAGAAAGTGGTCAACTAGACCTGAGGACCTTTAGGGAAAGGTTAGATGGGAGACTTTCCTGATAACTAGGAAGAAGCTGTGATGTAATTAAGAAAATAAATACTGAACTTGGAATCAGAAGGTAGATCTCAAGTACTGGTTCCATCATGGCATGGTGTATATATAACCTTGGCGCCAATCTCTCCCTCAGTATTATTTTTCCCACCTATAAAATGGGGCAAGAATGCCTACCTTCTTCTTGAGATAGCTAATAAGCATGATATGACAAAAATTAACATAGGAATATTCACAGTTGGCCTAAAAGAATCCTGCAATTGTTGGCCAAATTTCTCCTTTAATATCCCCCCAATACCCACTATGCACACCAAAGACAGATTGTTCCTTGTTGAAGAAAGGCAAGGTTAATGTCTACACACACACACACACACACACACACACACACACACAAAGCAAATGAGAGGGGGAAAGTGAGGGATGAGAGAGAAAAGCAATGTGAGGCTTGTTGAGAAGTTTAGGAGGACTCTGGAGAGAGAGCATCTAGATTGTCAGCAGGAGGTGATGGAAACGGATAAAGAGCACTTATATAGGTTGTATTAAGGACTGTGTATTTCAGTCCCTTTTATGATTTTCAAGAAATGTGAACAAAAGATTTGAGCTATGTTGAAAAAATGTTTAATGACTTTGACTACAAAATCACACATAAATTATTAGACCACGAGGGTTCAGACTTTATAAGAGCATTAAAAAAATCAAATGAGATAATGCACTTGAAATATCATTTTAAACTATTACGTGCTATGTAAATATTGAACAATATTATGACTGTCCCCGGGCCATAAGTGCTTATAAGGAAGAGAGGACCCCTTCTGTCTACAATGGCTTAGGGTTTGTCTACCTGTATGAGCCCTGCCAGTCCAATAATTCTGTGAAAGATTATTTTACTCACAGTTGAAAATTTAAGAATATTTTAATAATTATTAGAATCCTCTGAGTTGACTGCATGTTTTCTTTGTTTTACCTATTATACTACATGAATCCCAATGACAAAGAGACCAAGAGTTCCCTAATTAACAATTAATTGTTTATTAATCACAATGCTAGGTGCTGTGGCATTAAAAAAAAGAATAGATATGATTCTTGTTCTTAAGCAAATTTTATTAGTCTCACCATTGTTATTACTGAACCATTATAAACTAATAAAAGAGAATGTCACTGTGTAGAACAGATTCATAAATGCGCTTCTAGGTATTGAGCAGAAAGGCAAAACACTGAGGGGTGGAGTAGTCTGTAAGGAGGAGGTAAAATCTCAGCTAGAACTCAAAAGATGGATGGCAAGAAAAAAAGTGCATTTCAGGTAGCAAGAGCCCTCAAAACAAAAACGTGATGACATAAGGATTGAGTAGGATTTCTTCCTCTGAGGGAGAAGATGTGTCTCATGCAATGGAGAATAGCTGCTGGGCAATAAAGTTGAGAAGGTAGAGTTCAACCTTAAAATTTGGGCAGGGAAGATTAGATATTCATGGCAGGAATTACAAAGTCATTAAAGATTTTGGAAAATGGGGAGATAAAAGTATCAGGTTAACTATAGAAGGGAACCAAAGAGAAGGAGACCAGATATCAGAGGCCTGTGACTATCCCATGATGGGTGGCATCCTGGTTTAGTGTGGTGCCAGAGGGAAAAGGAACATGTTGCCTTCTATGGACCCTGGCAGTGTAGAAAGTGGAAGAGATATTGGTTGGCTGACAGTACAACTATTTATAAACCTTCACAATTAGCCTGTTACATTTTAGGCTCAACAACAGTTTCTGTTACCCAGTATATGACTTACATTTGACAGACTGCTCCACAAATCATCATTTTTAGCATTTCCATAACTGAACCTCTTTAAGTAGTAAATAATTCCTTTGTGGAATTTCTCCTCATTCAGAAAATCCTTGAGCATATTCAAAATACAAGCTCCCTTAAAAAATAAAGAAAGAAAGACAACAAACAAAAAAAGAAGATAAAGAAAAAGGTTGTATGATTTGTTTTTAAAGGAAGCTTAAATCTTATGGAACATGCGTAATGTCTGAAAAATGAACATCAAATACAAGAAACATAGAACAAGTGGTGGTAACCTGCAACCAATTAAGTTCAACTGCTGATCTTACAAGCCTTGTTATATTTCTCCTGAAAGCAGAGCTCCCACCTGCCCACAGCAGTTACTACCTTGTTATAGGAAACTGCATCAAACATTTCCGCTATCTGAGTAGGAGTTTCTGCTTGATTGGAGATAGGACGGGATGAATTTAATGAATCTTTTTTAATTACTGCAAAACACACATCCAAAAAAGCATCATCCTAAAGAGGGAAAAAATTTTTTTCACTTTCAGTTTGAAACTTTCAAAGCAAAAGAAAACACAGTAGGCTTAGGAAGATATTCGTAGAAGTAGTCAAACAATATTTCTTACAATTGATTGTAAGTTTCTTTCCCCATCTATATTCCCCTGCCACCCATTCTCTACTTCATAAAGGTATAAATCCAACATTCCTTCAGACATTGTTTGAATGTTTACCATGTACCAGGCCCTTGGATAGAGAAAAAAAATGGTTCCCATTTAGTGAACATTTGCTATGTGCCAGGACCTTACATCTATCATCTGTGATCCTGTCAACACCCTGCAAAGTAGATGCATTATGTGCACTTTAGAAGTGAGAATATATGAAGCTTTGGGATTACACCATGGATTCAACACATAGCAAATATGAAGATCCTGACTCTGAATCCATGTCTGTCTGTACCATACTGGACCAAATGCCTACCCCAAAGAGCTAAGTAACCATTACAAACCACCTTGATAGGTAGTGTTTAGACTCTTTATGCCTAAAGAAAAAGACGTGTTTGAAAAAAATCTTTTCATACATTTTGGGGAAGTGAATAGGCCTTTTGAAAATTCTAGAGGAGCATGCCCCAGTTATGCTTAATTTTCAGGTGACATGCCAAGAACTCTCCACAGGATCTCTAGCTATGGGCACCATTTTGTCCTATATCATTGTATATGGACAGCGATTTTCTTTTCTCTCACCTCACATACACAGCTGTATATTTGTGCTATTTGAGCTCTCTGTCCATAGATTTTTGGGTGAGAGATTTATGTTATGGGCTGAATTGTGTATGTGGTATGACATACAAAATTGTAAACTTACAGATTGTAGCTCTGGATATGTGGCATTAACAGAGATGAGTTCCATGTATGTTGCAAAACCTTCATTGAGCCAAATATCATTCCACCATTCCATTGTAACCAGGTTGCCAAACCACTAGGAAGCAAAGACTCAATGTTATTAGAAATTAAACAAATATTGGGGCACCTGGGTGGCTCAGTTGGTTGAACATGGGACTTGTGATTGCAGCTCAGGTCAAAATCTCAGAGTTGTGAGTTGGGGCCCCACATTCTGCTCTGCTCTGCACTCATCGGGGAGTCTGTTTGAGATTTTCTCTCTTCCTCTGCCCTTCCTCCCAGCTCTTGCACATGCGCACTCTCTCTCTCTCTCTCTCTCTTAAATAAATAAATAAATCTTAAGAAAAGAAATTAAACAAACATAAAAAATTATTAACTGTAGCAAAAAATACAATGGATGCTAACTTCCTTCTTTCAGTGGTTAAGGCCTTTCCACTCTCTGTTACCTTTTTTTCTCTGTACAACTTCCTTCTACTGATTTCTTTGCCTTCTCTTCTCACCACCACATTTTTGCTTCTTTTTTTACTTTTCTTTCTTTTGTGTCCTTGTAGTCCCCAACTCTCCAACTTCCATTTTACTCTCCCAACATTTCCTAGCTATTAGATTTAATATTAAGGAAGAAAATAAAACCTTTTATGGGGTAAGTACAATCTCACCTTGTCCTTGATTTATGGTGATGGTCTTAGGAGAAATATAAGCCAAAATATCTTCGGTGAGTTCACTTCTTTATATTAAGTAGCAGGTATTTAAGAGAATCATAAGAATTCTAGGACTCTGATTGCTACATAGTATTACTGATGAGGGAATTTAGTTGTTAACTTTTGCTCTGACTTCCTTCCAGGGATTAACCTGGACACTGAAGTGAATAAAGTTCTGAGATTTTAATTATACATAAATAAAATTAACAGGATGCAAAAGGAAATCTAAATAGCAATTTACCTTTGACCTATATTTGATCTGTAACACTGGTTTTAAGCATTACTACTTTTTCATGTACTTTTGTATATTATTTAGCCTATATGCCCAATATTATCCATCTAATTTATCTGTTTCAGGGTTGCAATCTCCAGAGGGATGGGAAATTAAACAAAAAGACTCTAAGATTCAAAAGAGACTTCTTATAGTTATAGCTAGATGTGTAGCTTCTAGCAACTGTTTAAGCTCTATTTCTTTTCTGACAACCCTCAGATCATTTTACAAGCGGGCACCAATCTTCCTGAGGGCATCTGTGAGAAAGGATGGGAGGTGTTTCCTTATTTTGAGAAGTGATGAATACGAAAAATACAAGTTGAGCTAATTTTGGTAACTTCACCAGTTAGTAAGAGTGGTTTATTCATTCATTCAATAAATATCTATTGAGAATCTACTACATTCCTGGCAACATGCCATATGTTAGAAATATAAAGATATATATAATACAGCCTCTGCCCCAATTCAAATGATGGACGTCAACTGATAGATAAATGCAATAAAACATTATGGTGCTATGATCAATGCCTGCACAAAGGATAGAGAGGATTCCAGGAGTTAAAAATAAGTTCTTCTGGGAAAGTGCGTAAGTTAGTTAAGAAAGGATTAGTTTCTTGAGTCTTGCAAAGGGCCCTCAGGTATGTTGGGAATAGTGTGTGCTCTAGGCAGATTAAGTAGCAGGAGCAAAAGCACAGGGGAGCAACACAGCCTGGCACATTCAGAAATGGCAGACAGTCTAGGATAGCTAAAGCTTACGGTGTTGGTAAGAGATGAGGCTGGGGAGGTGGAGAAGGGCTTCATCTTGGGTACTTGGTATGGCATGCTATGGACTCCTGACCCACTCAGTTGGCATTGGGAGTCTTTGTTGGAGTAAATGGTCGTATTGAGATCAGTGGGGGAGACAAAATAGTCAAGACAAAAATTCCACTTCTGCCGGCTGCTTCAGCCCCAGACTCTGCATCTCCATGAAAGAGAAGCTATAAAAGGAGGGCCAGAGGAGTCTCAGAGGTAGAGTTCTCCAACAATTTCCCTATAAACATTCAGTAGAAAGATTAGAAATCCCCAGATTCAGTCAAGTGCTTTAGAGCTACCAGTGACTAGTGATCAAAAGCCCTGAAATGAGCCAGTGGGGAGATTCTAAACCAGAGGAAGCCACACATATGTTCTTCGAGTACAGTGCTGAGCATGGTTCCTGTGTAATTGGGCACTTAGTTCACTGCTTAAATAAAATCCAACTTACTATTATAATAATGATAAGGGATAAAGTTAAAAATGAAAAATAAGATATTACTAGCTTCTAGTAAATACAATAAAATGATATTTGTCTACGTGGTGAAAGAGAATTTCTGGGGCCCTTAACAATTCACTGTGTTACTAGGGATTTTCAGAAATGAAATAGAGTGGAAATAGTCTATGATATCTACAGAGTTAGTTTTACAGTACCATATTTGCATCTAATACAGTGTGATAGATAGGCCTTGGAAATCTTAGCCTGCAGGAAATGATAGCAGTAGCAGAGATCATTGCTGCCATCACCAATAACTCACACTTATTGAGTGTGACAGGCACAGACACTTATCTGTAATTCTTCACAGCAGTTTCAAGAAGGAGGAACTATTATTAATTTAATTTTATAGATGAAGACATTAAAGTTTAGAGAGTTAGGTAATGTGTCTAGGGTCAGCAGCCCATAAGTACTTGGACTTGAAGTACTCGCTATGGCCATATAATGACATGTTCCAACTGAAGGGAGATTGATTATGCCCTAGACTAGGGAGTATACAGAGAAATATTTTTTAATAGAAATCTTTCCTTGTATGGTTTCCAATTCTGTGCCCTATCCATCTGCATAATCCATACCTTTCTTACTAAAATACATCAGAAGGCTTTGCCTTGAAGAGTTTTAGAGGATACAGTGGCCACTTCTCTTGTGATAAAACTCCTGTCTAGAGATTGTGATCTAGAGATTGAGATCTCTGCTACTTGACATACTGTGCTTGGTTTGATAGTCTCCAAGGTCCCCCCTAAGGGTAAGAGGATATAATTTTATGTTGTTTCAGGAAGCCCACTGGTGACCTGTACAATGCCTTTTTGGATTGATTCTAAGAGAATGTCATGACAGTCAGGTACCTGGTGTGCTAGTTCATGGGCTATGACTTTGGTGACCCATAGTTGATCAGAAGCAGAAGAAGTCTTAGTATCAAAGAGCAGTGATGTCTCTTCATATGTGATGAGGCCCCAATTTTCCATGGCTCCAGACTCAAAGTCAGGAATGGCAATTAGATCTAAGAAATAAGAACAACCATATTTGATCATTATGGCTTGTGCACCAGAAAAGGGATTTGCTTCCCCCCAAATACATTGTGATCCTTTCATGTATAAGCAGACTTTCTGAAAAGGTCAAGACTATTGTAACATTGACGTGGGGTCTTGTAGTTGCACTGAAAATAATCAGCACCCATTATTAAGCAGCACTAATTCTATCAATACACTTTTGGTTGTAGCTGAAGTAACCTGCTGATATTTAACCATTTGTTTCTAAATGTGCTAAACTCAACAAATACCTTGGGTGCATTAGTGCTAAGAAAATGATTTCTTTAAAAACACTCATATTGTATTTTATATTAATACTACTCAAAAGCATTGAAAAGTATCAAATAACTTCTAGTATGTTTGAGATTCATCAAAACATATAATGAACTCATTTCTATAAAAAAGAGAACAATATAGGATTTTAATTTCAGGAAAACATCTTTTAGGAGCAATCTCTATTGTCAATGTTTCAATTAATATTTAAAGAATGTATGGCCTCTATTATGAGCAAGTAGAGGAAAAGGCAGTAGAGGAAAAAAGCTGTGGGCATCAATTATTTCTGACCTCAATTTCCTTTTCAACATTGATATTTTCTCTACCTCTTAACAAAGTCTTGAGGGGAAAAAAGTGAAATTTAATTATCTTTAAGCAACTCAGGTATACTGTATATTAATTTAGAATATATCTGTGTGTGTGTGTGTGTGTATGTATACCATTTGCCATTGATGTCATGCAAGTTAGAAAATTCCTGGCTAATATTTAATCTCGGAATTTTTACTTTTTACTCTGCTAGGCCATTTTGGAAAAAGTACTGTTTGATTAAAAAGAAAAGTAATTTTTTTAAGTTGAAATGAACCAAGTCACTTGGCTTACGATTACATTGTCTGGAATTAATACTGGTTAATTCTAGTGGATAAAAACAAATACTTAATAAGACAATCGAAAGTAAATTAGCACTAATAAAGATTAGTATTCATTAGTACTTCAAATGTGGGAATAATTCCTTTTGTAAATTGCAGTGATGATTTTATATAAGTTGGATAATTTCCCATAGTCATTAGAGATACTTATATCTGGTTTAATTTTTCTTAAACTGCACCCTTCTTTTCAGTTTTTAAAAATACATTTCATAGGGGCACCTGGGTGGCTCAGTCAGTTAAGCGTCTGCCTTCAGCTCTGGTCATGATCCCAGGGTCCTGGGATTGAACCCCGTGTCATGTCGGCTCCTTGCTCAGCAGGGAGTCTGCTGCCCCCTTTCTCTCTCCCTCCCTGCCTCTCCCTGTTTGTGCCCGCACATGCTCTCTCTCTCTCTCTCAAATAAATAAAATCTTAAAAAAAAAATACATTTCATATGATCTTCAAGGTTGCATTGTTCAAGAGCAACGTAAGATTGTTGATGGTTATTAGATCTTTCCTTGACTTTTGACATAGAGGACAATGGATTATGGTAAATTTAGCATATCTATACTAAAAAGCATATAGAATCTGCACTATAATAAAGCACTGAGACTTAGGAACTATAAGAATAAGCCCCTGGATAAGTCTTTCGATGGTCTCTTATACCTCCTCTAAGGAAAAATGGCACAGATGTTGGGGGTAAAGAGGAGCAAAGACATGATAGGGAGTATGTTTTAATGTCCCCAAGGGAAAAAAAAGTTGGTCACTGTCAGAAATTCTAAAAACCAATCTACATATGTTATGAAACCTAAGTCATGGTTTAATGTGTTCTGCAACATTATTAAAATCATAACTTTTATTTTTTAAGATAGAAAATTAAAACCAAGATAGACTGTGTGTATCTTCCTATGTAAAGATCTACTACTATCACATCAAATCATCTATTTCCTCCAAGTCTTCTTTTATTTTTAAATCTGTGCCACATTCTTATCTTCCAACTTCAAATGCACTATAAACAGAGGGACAATTTTCAGCCATTTACGTAAGTCTTCGGCAAATGTTATAAAAGATTGCTGGTCTTGTATAAATATGGCATAGAAACAAGTTGTATGCTCTGGAAAATTCATCCAATTAAATCTAACATGCGATGCAGCTATTTTAATGTGAACCTGATAAAAGAATAAAATGATCCACACTACTCAGACTTCTCATAAATACTTTCTTTTCTACACTCAAGAACCATCTCTGAGGTACAAATTATTGCTTCTTGGGCTAACTGAACCTCTTCAGTACTCATTTAAATCACATATAAAGACAAAAAAAAAAAATCAAAGCAAGGTCTATAAGCAAAAATAAATACAATGACATGGAATTTGAACCTACCCAGTTTGGGGAGTGGATAGTTGATATCAAAGTAATTTTCATAAAAATCAAGTAGCTTTAATGATGCTTCCAAAGCATAATGTGTTTGACTCCATTTATCTGGGGATGCATAGACGGACACCTGGAAATGTTGATCAGAAGAAGTGGTCTTTGAATGTCACAAATCCTTGGCACAATTCCATTCCTAACAACCCTCACTCAAAGAAAGGTAGACTACATTTTTCAAGAAATTACTGTAATACAATTAAGCATGTTTTTGATGGGGATAAGATGTTCCATAAAGTATTAAACAAAAATCAGTCTTAAAAATTATAAACAACCCTGTGTCTCTTGTTATAACCCATTCCCTAGGTGCTAATCTGTAAATTTCAAGCTATATGAATCCACTGTATCATGAGAGCCCACTTGAGCTCATCACTATTATGCATTCTAGCACTTGAGGGCCAGTCTTCCAGAATTGTGTTCACCAGCACAAGTCAGATAAAACATAGGAGTATGAGTTGGAAAGCCTTCAAAATTTATTGGATCTACCTTCTCGTCTAGTTGACTTTAAACTCAAAAATCCCCCAATATGTTCCTTTACTCTCCCACAAGTATATAACACTGAATGGAAAAAGATAAAATTACATTCCACTTTTATTGGGTTTCAAGTATGGTGCTACTTTCATTTTATGATCTGCTTTCATGCTCTGAATTACCTGAAGTTCCTCAGAACTTTTATAGGAAGCATATATTAATAGTTACCATTTTTTGATGGCTTATCAGGCACAGTGCTAAATATGTACATGTGAAATCTAATTGAATCCTCTCAACAACCTTATGAAAAGATGGAAACACATGGGAATTAAGTAACTTGCTCCAAGTCAGAGCTGGGATGTGAAACCCAGGAAGCTGACTGGAATATGCCCTCCTGAAGTTAAGTACCATCAGGCCTTTCATATGTCTGTTATCTATGCAGACTCTGGGTGCAGAGCTGCTGTGTTATGTATCTAGATGCATTACTCATAACATATATCTACATATCTGTAAGTATAATATGTATATAAATTGAAATAGCTATTTTATAGCTGTTTTTCATGAGCATTATTTTAGGGTTCTTTGAATGTTTGTATGTCTATATTTGGTTCTTCAGGGTAAGGAGATGATGATGATGTCCCTACTGATATTTGCAAAACTCTGTAAGCTACCCATTGGGTATTGTAAATTTTTTCAAATAATGAAGACTCTAAAAAGTATGAAGTACCTCTCATTGAGGGAAAAAAGTTATAGAAAACAATTGGAAACAATGTGAATGTCCTAAAATAAGATGCTGATTAAAATTTCTTTTGGTACTTCCATGCAGTCTAACACTAAGCAATTATTAACATAATATTATAGGAAATTCCATAAAATGTAATAAAAATATTATAGAAAAATTCAACGGCATTCAGTTCTTATGGCATATTATGGTGAATATAGAGTTAAATAATCTTAAAGATTATTTTGTAAAAGGTATACACAGTTATTGTATACACTCTCATATACTGACATACATACAGAAAATACTTGAAAACTTACACTAATATTATCAGTAATTATATCTTGATGGTGGGATTTATGAGTAATTTATTTTATTTTCTGTCTATTTTGTGAAATAAGCATGATACTTTGATAACAAGAAAAAAAAAGTGTAAGAAAATAAAAGCTTGTTGCTCTCAGGACAGTGTATAAAATTAGAACCCAGTCTTACCTTGACGCCTGAGGAGGTGGTGCCACTCACAGAGTTGAAATCACAAACTATATAAGCTACAAGGTATGTACTCATTTTTACCGTAGTTTCAAAATGATCTTCTAAGAGGCCTCCTTCAAGTTCAATTGTCTTAACCTACAGGAAGGGAAAAAAATAGTATTTGTAAATTGGAATATTTTACAACAATGCCTATGATTTAAGTTGGTGAAGGTCCTGACACTTTGAAGGCCACTTGATGACATTAGAGGAGATCAATGGCCTGTCATAATATTCTGTGACCTCTCCTCCCTTTTTTTCTTTTACCCCTAGACTTCCTCTAAGACATCATGTACCACCTGTGAGATCCCAAAATGATGCCAAATCTTATTTTGTTGCTTGAAAGCATAAAAATATTTTAGATATTTCTACTTTCTTGAAATGCAGTAATCTCCAACACTGGCATAAATTCAAGTTCTGCACTTGTAAGCAAAAATATCAAAGAATGTCTCCTTTCCCTTTGTTTGTTATATAATAGATCTCTGTTGCAGAAGGAAATGGGACACAAAACTGTGTGAGATAATTTTCATTATCTTTTAGTCCTCTTTTTATTTATGTGTGAGGTAGGTGTTATTTCACAGGTGAGGAAAGAGAGTCTCAGAAATGTTAACTGAACTGCCCAAGATCACGTGGCTAGTTCCACAGGAAGACCAAGATGTGGATGTGACCGTGTGACTCCAGAGACATTGCTCATTCTTTCACTCGCTGTGTGACAGCTTGAGTCATAGTCTTATTTTATCTTTGCTTCATCGATTCAGCAATGAAAGCAGGCAGGCCAAGGAGGTCATTAGTAATTTAAGCTTCTGCCTATCTACGGAAGAAGTAAGAAGTTTTAAGCCTACAGACTGGTCAGCCACATCTATCAAATTCACTGAGTAATTACCAAATTTTATCTTTATTTGCTCAGGATAGCTTGTCCCAGAGATGGTTTCCACCATGGTACAATGCCCCCAAATACTGAATGGATACAGATCCAGTAATCTGAAAATACCACTTTCTTCAAATTGGTAACAACTCTATAGACTAGCTTTCCCCTCCCAACATCCCTTTCAAGGCATCAGGCTTCAACAGCACTAACCAGGGATTGTCAGGCATGTTTTATCTGTTTGGATAAGATTGCAGTTTGCCTTGGCAAGAGAAAATAGCTTGAAGTATTACCAGAAACTGTCTAGCCTACTTAAATGACAAATGTTTGTGCTATTTAATTCTACAGTATTTGATTCTAGAGAATTCTATAAAAAAATGAGGTCCTAAGTTTTAATAAAGTAGAAGACACTGACCAATACTTTGAGAAAGGTAGCAGTATATATAGGACTGCGCCTTACATATATATATCCTACAAGTTAACTCTGTAGAACAACAATCTCTTTTTTAGGGATCTGATTCAACCAGAATTCTATGAGCACATACTTCTACCAGAGGCAAGGATTATGGTAGAGGCCAGGGAGAGGGCATTTTGACTGTAGTCTTATGACCAAACTCAGTAAAAAACCAGTTAGTCAAGTGTGTTAGAGGAGAGAGGGGAGGAGGAGGAAGGCTGTGGGACACTGGGGGGACGAGAGTCTCTGACACTAGACACTGGTGGCAGGAGTGGTTAGGAGACGGTTGGGGTTCCCTCTGATTTCTCTCCCCCGCTGCCCCCCCCCCCCATGAAGATGTAGCACACGGAGGCTGAGTTTTATTCTGGAACCTGGAGCGAACCATGTGGATTAACATTGCCTTAAATGGAAGTGCATGGAGTGTTAGTGTACGGTCTTCCAGGATGATGATGTAATCTCCAAGTACAGAACACTTGTTGCTAGACAAGGATTTAGCTGTTTCTCAATATTGGCCGGACTTTCCTTACATAGCAAGTATCGCCAGCAGGTGTGTGTTCCTTTAAGAAATGAAGGGGACAAAAAAATGTCCCAAAGATATGCTGCCTTCCCTAGTACTTGTCTGGCTACCTCACTTCCCTTAAATCTTGTATTAACTGAGCAGACTGAGAACTTAGTATGTGTTGTTTCTCACCAATCCATAGCCCAGCTTAATTGTTGCAGCGATTGTCCAGAGAGTAAGATTGTAGCATGACTTCAATTGTCCTTTTTTGGTCAACCACAAAATCCTGGATTGGGCATGTCAGTGAGAAGCAGACAGTGGAGCCAGTATTTGCTGGAAAGGTATGATCCGGAGAACTGGACAAGTCAGTTGAGGCAATGCAAATATTCAAGGATTGTATAAAATATTTTTTAAATATGCACTAATTTGTCTTAAATATGAGAAGTTGCTGGAGATTTCTAAAGATAAAAAAAATTCTGGGGTAACTGGGTGGCTCAGGTGGTTAAGCGTCTGCCTTCAGCTCAGGTCATGATCCCAGGGTCCTGGGATTGAGCCCTGCATTGGGCTCCCTGCTCAGCGGAGAGCCTGCTTCTCCCTCTCCCTCTCCCACTCCCCCTGCTTGTGTTCCTTCTCTCGCTGTCTCTCTCTCTGTCAAATAAATAAATAAAAATCTTAAAAAAATTTTAAATTCTAATATAATGAAACCACAATTATGTTTGTATCACATTTTAATGAAAAGGCTTTAAAATAATTATATCTTTATTTTACCCTCCATGATTATTCATATGAAAAATGACATTAATATAAAGCTGCTGGGAAAGAGACTGAACTGCCCTTAAATGAACATACAGTTAGAAAGCAGACTTGAAGTTCAAGTAGAGGATCATTTTTACCCGGAAATGAGTAGGCTAATTGAATTGCTGTCTGGGTGATCAAGGAAAAACTAGGGTATGTGTCACGTGGAGTATTGTCACTTTTCCCGCTGATCTGCTCTGCCAATATATCAGAGCAAATACCTTTACCAGCATGAAACAGAAATCTAGGGAAATTCAGTGTCTCGTGTTATCGACTCATTTCTCTCCTTCAACCACAGAGGCTGGTCACTGTGGAAGGCAGAGAGAAAAATGGGGTAGGGCCCCTTGCTGGCTTATGATGGCCCAGCTGCTTTCTGGGATGCTCATTTTGCTGAAGCACGATCAGAAGAGCCTCTATTTTTGTCTCACTTTCCAAGTGGCAATTGGGAAATATTTTATATTTTGTCCAACATCACAAATGGCAAGGACATCATTAGTGAGGAAATATCAAATGAGGCCCGCAGTCAGTGGTATCTTTCAGAGTCTCTGAATTTTGAGTGCAAATAAAGGGTTCAAATGTCTCTTTCAGTTAAAAAAGTGTATAACTATCATAGATGATTTTCACAGATAATTTTAAGAATTACCCATGGAACTTAAAAAAAAGGGGGGGACTTCTAAGTTTCATCAGAGACCACTAGAGCAGAATTTCCAAGGTGGAGCCCAAGCAGGGTTCTCTAGATCCTTCCCACTCTACATGTGGAGTCTGGACCAGCCGCAGTGGTATCACCCGAGAGCTTGTTAAAAAGGCAGAACTTTGATCTTCACTGGTGCCAAGCCGAATCAGAATCTAAATTTTAACAAGATCCTCAGATGATTCATCTCAACATTAAAGTTTGAGAAGTGCTGCTCTGTGTGGTTTTGAATTTCATCATTGGCCAAGTAACACAGAATGAAAAAGAACATTGTTTCCATATGAATACAAATCAAATATAAATCACGGTTTTTTTTTTAAACTTCTGGTATAACAATGCCCCAACCAGAATGATGTTAAAATCTAGAAGGATTGGGGTTATTATATAATATGTAGATGGAGAAAACAAATTAATGGCTTAAATATTGAAAACAAGAAATGTTAAAAAAAAAAAAATACAACAAAGACCAAAGCTCAACTTGAGAATGATTCCCCTGAAGTTTCTGCAAGTGACAATACCTTTGGCATGTTGGAGAGTGCAATGTGTCCACTTTCTCTTCTTATCTTGATGGAAAAGTTGGCTTTAAACAATGGTTCATCAAAGCAAGGGAAAGCCATCCGGGCTTCAGTTGGCTCAAAATCTGTTACTGCAATTATTCTGTGAAATGAAGAAACCACCGGCCAGAATTTCACAAGTGAAATCAAGAAAAGAAATGAACTATACCTTCAGAACACAGCTTATCAAACCTGGAGGTGATATATTTGACTTCTCAAACTTCTCAAACTATAATCTTAGTGAATCTAGGATGTCTTTTTAAATAAAACAAGGGTAAAATTTTGTTTAGTACCTGCCAGTCATGAATAATGCACAGTGCTGGGCACTCTGCTTCTATGACCTCTTTCATACTCATAGTAGGCAAGGATATTGAGACTCAGAAAATCTGAGTAACCTTACCAGGTTCCTTAGCTACTAAATGAGATAGGTATGCCCAGTCAATTTGATGCCAAAACTGACTCGGATATTAGTAGTTAAGTACCATCTCTCAGGAGGGGGCTTCAGTTGGAGATTTGAATACTTGTGAATGTGAGTGATGTCTTAGGTTGTGTTCTCAGAAAGCAGACCCTGTTTTATTAAAAACATGCCTCCAGGAGATGTTAAGGAGGTAGGGAAAGAGTGAAGAAGCAGGATAGGATAGAAGAAAAAGCCAGGCTGGATCCAGCTTCAGTCTGATATCTGGGGAGCTCTGGAATGGAAATTACACCTTTAAGTTTTCCCCTGAGCTAGGATTTCATATTTTGTACACCCTGGGGGACCTAACTCCCAGGAACTTCTAGCTTTCTCTGCTTGCCAGCCAAGTAGCTCCAGTCCTGAGACTATAATAGGTACATAGACATTCTGACAAATCTCTATACCCCATCACCTTGATAATGCCTGAAATTGTATAATTACAGATTTATTCTTTGGACTTAAAGCTTCAATTAAGAAACAAACCTGGAGTGCAGACTTTTATTGGAGAAGGAGGGGAGAATAAAAAATCTCTAGAGTCAGATAAAGGGTGGGAAGGGCCAGGAGGGAAAAAAAAAACAGGAGGGACTGCCAGGCTAATTTTGTCAATTTACTTTGCTTTTATAATATAGATTGGAAAATGAGGCTGGGGATTGGGATGATTTGATTTGCTTGGAACTTCAGGCCTTATTTGGATTTGGTAGCAGCTACTAGAAGTATAAAGGAATTCCACATACCTGGAATAACTTTTCACAAATGTGAAATTTTGTTTATAGTAAGTCTACAGTAGGAAAGTAAAAAAATTAATATTTTTTTCTGCTACTTGCACAATTAATTTTAGCTCTGCGTGTAAAGTAGTGACTTCTTGCTTCTCAAAGAGCTATTGTTGACTGGATTATTTTTATATTTTAGGTTAAGGTGTGTGTGTGTGTGTGTGTGTGTGTGTGTGTGTGTGTGTGTGTGTGTGAGAGAGAAAGAGAGAGAGGGAGGAAGAGAGAGAGAGAAAGAGATCCATGAGTCTATTGACACTGTGCTGCGAATCATCCTATTTGTTAGATCTACTATGTAACTGAGGATGAAGAGAGCTACTTAATCACAAGAAGAGTCAGAAATAGCCTGAAGTTAGTTATGGGAGACATGTTGAAAAGTCCTCCAGCTTTACTCAAAGAAAAAAATCTCCCTCTCCAGTTTCCCACGTCTCCCAAAATTATATCCTTAAAAGGTATTTCCTTGCGGTGGAGTCTTTGTCACTTGAGAAAATGAAAAAAAGCCATGACTGGTCACATGTTGTTAGTGAGAAGCTGATGATAAATTCCCTATCTAGTACTGTGCTGGCTGAGAACAGACCCTTAAGAATTGAGGCTGCAATGAGAGAAATGTCCCAAAGGGAGGGGCAAAGACATGGGCTTGGGGAAGTGCTCTCCTACAGACCACTGAGGCCTGGGGGCAGGGGGCACATGAGTCCTCAGAGGGTAGTGAGATCACCTAAGGTGGGAAGAAGAGATAATGTAGCAGACATTGCTTAAGTCACCTACTCATTCCCCTTCTTCAATTCCAGTGGAATCCTGATTTTACTCAAGAAGACAATGTGTCCAGATAAAAGAATCACCTCTCAGAGTCCCTTGCAACTCATTCTGGCCTGACTGAATTCATTGGGTAGGAAAACTTTGTAAAACCCTCAGTTGGAATGTTTCTTTTTGTCTTTTTCTCTCCCCTCACTTCCCCCTTCTTCTGCCTACAATGTGAACTTGATGCCTAGAGGTACAGAAATCATTTTGTATTAGGAGGAAAGCCATATTCCAAGGGTGCTGAGCAGAAAGATAGAAGCTGCCTGGGTCCTGGATAGCACTGAAGAGTGCCGTAGCAAACCTGGCCTGTCCTGTTTCTAGACTTCTTCTTGCATGAGAAAATAATGGCCCCCTCATGTGGTTAAACCATTGTATCTGGGTTTCTCTAACTGACAGTTGAGTGTCACAGATCAAAAGTGGGAAAGCACTGAAACCCTCCCAGATGGGCCCTGGCCCTGGACAACCAAAGCATCCACTCTATGAAGAATCACTGATTCCTCTCTTTCTCTAATTTCACATAACTGTCAGAAAATTCTGTCTGTTTTACCCTCCAAAACAAATGCCACGTTCAATCACTTCACTCCATAAGCACTGCCCAAGCCACCCTCATTTCTTGCCCACACCACTGCAATGACCTCCTAAGTGATTACTGTCCTCTGTGTTCCCCTCTCTGTAATGTACTCACAACATACACTCGAGCTTTATGGAGCATACATCAGATCAGAACTTCCTGATGAATCCCCACCGCACTGGAGGAAAAGCCTAAACTCCGTACAAGAGGCTCAAAGTCTTTGCCTGATCTGACCCTTTTCTACTCTATTTATCTCCTTTGTCACTGTCCTCAAGCCATGCTAGTCAGTCAGCCCAACCTCAGAACCTTCACACTTGCTGTTCCCTTGTCTGGAGATACTCTACCCAAAGATGTCCTCATGATTTTCTCCTTTTTTCAAATAATATTATTTTCAGTTTAAATGCATCTTCTTAGCAAGGACTTTCCTGACCACTTAGATCAATGAGTTCCAATCCCCAGCTACACTTTCTTTCTATTACAGCACCTCATTTTATTTCCTTCATAGCATTTATCATTTACCTTGTCCATTTAATTTATTTTCTTGACCTGGTTGTCTCTTCCCACATACCTTAGCAAGTGCTCAATAAATGGGAGTTCATTAAATTGATCATATTTCTCAATTCTCCAAACAGACTTGTTCCTGCCTCCTGGATTTGAGTCATGCTGTTTCTTGGGTAATGTATACACACTTTCACTTCCTTTCTCTCAACCCAAATCTTACTTGTGTTTCCTTCTGGTCTCAGATCAAGACTCACCTCCTTTGAGAAGTCTTCCGTATCTCAGCTTTCTGTGTCATGACCATCCTTCCCCCTAGCACAACAACATATCTGTCTCAACACAGTCACATACTGCTCTCTTCTCCTAGTCATTCTCCCTCTAGTTGTTTATGCCTCTGCATTCTGTGTTCTCATCTTGACTGAAATTTCCTTAAGAAATAGCAGAGCTTCTTCTTCTAAGTTTCCATGGTTTATTGAGCTTTTCATAAATGACTGCTGAAATGTGCTCCTGGCAAAGAGATGTAACCCATAAGGAAAGTATCACTAAAGACTAAACAGCTAGAGCAATGTCTTACCTTGTTTTACCACCACGAGTTCTGTATGTGCTTCTATAAAACCCTTCAAAACCATTGGCTAACTTGGCCTGGAAGTTGATAGCCACAGAGTATCTCAAATCAGCCATTAGTTTCTCTGGAACCAACAGTGCAATTTGTTGATGAGCAGGATAACTCAAAACGTTCAGCTTTTTTCCTGGTTTCCTGTATCTCAAATCTTCCTCTGATTGAAGGATGACATTCATGACTTCAAGGTCTTTGCTGTGCAAGATGATAAATTGAGTGGCATCTCTGACCAAGACTTCAATCTTCTCAAAACCAACGAAGTCCAACGAGGTGAGATTTGGATGAACCAAAAGGTCATAGTGGAGGGGAATTATCATGCTGGGGAGCCTCAGCTTGTTCCAAGGAAACGGTTCCCCATTGGTGGCTATGGGGAAAGCCCTAGGGTCCTTATTGAATGGATCAGTAGATGACATTGAAAACTGAGAACAAATGCACATTTTGGGCATGATGATTGAGCAGTAAAATCCCATGTAAATATTAAATAGCAGTTTTCTGCATGGATTAGCCATTGCAGAAGAATGGATACTAAATCTATTCTGTAGAAGACAAATTAATACCCAGGCTAAGTCTCATAATTCTCTACAGCACTGTACCAGCTCCAGTTACGTCACACAGGATCTGAATGATATGTTTCAATAAGTGGATTTGATCTAGAAGGAAAAAAAAAACATTCATAGCATGTAGAAAATGAATTCAATTAATAAATAAATCCTTAAAAAATAAAAGTATATATGTGAATGGAGAAAACCTGCTTTCATAGAATCAAGCCAAATAACCACACAATAAAGTGGAAATTGAGCTATCATTTGGTTATTACAAAAAATCCTGTAGAGGCCAAATGAAAGGACTCTGCCTTAAAATTACATGTATAGAATTCCCTCTGCATTCCTATGCAATGAACATCAGGCAGGTATGTAAATTCATTGCATGTTAAATGTTTTTAACATTTGGCTACATCATTCTGGCTGAATCCTGGACACCTGAAAATAAGCTGCACAGGTGGTTTCTATTTTGTTTTGAGTCACAAAGAAACTATATTCTTTGGATACCAGGTTTAATTATTAATGGCATTCAACTTCACCTCTTTCAATGAATAACATCATCTGAATGGCTTTATTCTATGGCTGTTGCTGGAAAGGATGCTGGTCAAGGTATATTTCCAATATACCAAAGCTATAGAAATAAAACTGAGTTTATAATATTCTTAGTGAGAATATTTAAAAAATTGTTTTGATGTTCTTCGTCTTAGGCTACCTTTGAAAATGCAATTAAATCAAACTGAATTTACTGCTTCTAAATAGAACTAAGATGATTTTTTTCTCATTAGAAGGGTAAAATAACAAAACATAAAGTGAGGACAAACAATACTATTAGTTTAGGTGATTCAGCTCTGACTCTCACCCTGCCACCTGCCTCTACTTACCTCCTCCCAGCTCCAACTCAGCCCATGAATGGTTTCCTTTCTTTCTTTTTCATTAGCAAGCTCTTTAGAATTAATCATCCCAACAGTTACTTTGATTTTCCAATTTGTAATATTACTGCAGACAAGCAGGTATTGTTAAAAGAACAAGAAGAAGAATGGTAAAATAAGGCATTTCAAAGCCAAGACAAGGACACAACCTAAGGGTCCATCAATGGATGAACAAATAGAGGTGATGTGGTATATACGCCTGCAGTGGGATGTTATTCGGATATGAGATAAAAGGAAACCCTGCCATTTGCAATAACATGGATGGAACTTGAGGACATCATGCTAAGTGAAATAAGTCAGACAGAGAAAGACAAATAAATATGATATATCATGTATGCGTGAAATCTAAAAAAGCTGAACTCAGAGAAACACAGTGGAGTGGCAGTTACCAGGAGTTGTGCAGTGGGGGAAATGGGTATGAACTTCCAATCAGAAGATTTAACAAGTTCTAGGGATCTAATGTACAGCATGGTGATTATAGATAATCATACTGTACCTTGCACTTGAATGTTGAATAGATTCTCAATGTCCTCACGAAAGAGTAGATTCGTAACTTTCTCACCACAAAAAAGAAGTGGTAATTATGAGATGGGACAGAGGTGTTAGCTAATGCTATGGAGGTAGTCATTTTGCAATATATAAATGTATCAAATCAAGGTGTTGTACACTTTACCTTCCTTTTTTTTAAGATTTTATTTATTTATTTATTTATTTATTTATTTATTTATTTATTTAACTGAGACATAGAGAGCACAAGCAGGAGGAGCAGCAGAGGGAGAGGGAGAAGCAGGCTCCCCACTGAGTGTGGAGCCTAATGCAGAGCTCCATCCCAGGACCCTGGGATCATGACCTGAGCCAAAGGCAGATGCTTAACTGACTGAGCCACCCAGGCGCCCAAGGTGTTGTACACTTTAAATTTACACAATGTTATAATGTCAATTATATCTCAATAAAGCTGGGGAAGATTTTTTTAATTAAAAAAATAATGACACTTCTCCTATCTTTTTCAGATAAGCATTAAATTACGGCTAGGGGCGCCTGGGTGGTTCAGTCTGTTGAGCGTCTAACTCTTGGTTTCAGCTCAGGTCATGATCTCGGGGTTTTGAGATTGAGCCCCACATCAAGCTCCACGCTCAGTGAGGAGTCTGCTGGAGATTCTCTCTCCCTCTTCCTCTGCCCCTCCTCCTGGGTGCTCTTTCTCTCTTTTCTCTCTCTCAAATAAATAAATCTGAAAAAAATTTATGGCTACCAAACCTCAGTGTTCCAAGAACCTCTGACACACAAAACCACAATTGGTGTATTTGCTTAAATTTCTGAATGTTTGAAAAATGAAAATGTTTGAAAAATTGCTTATTTGATAGCTGATAGGCTTGAGAATCAGAGTGCTTGGATTCTAATACTAGTTCCAGCATGCTTACTGATATGATTTTGGGCAAATTTTCTTCTTTTTTGGGCATAAGTTTCCTCATCTTATAAAACAGTGTATGAATCATACCATCCTCAATTTAGGAAGATTAAATGAGGGGCGCCTGGGTGGCTCAGTCAGTTAAATGTCTGCCTTTGGCTCAGGTCACGATCTCAGGGTTCTGGGATCCAGCCCCGCATCGGGCTCTCCACTCAGCGGGGAGTCTGCTTCTCCCACTGCCTCTGTGCTCTCTCTCTCTCTCTCAAATAAATAAATAAAATCTTTTAAAAAAAGAGAAATAATTCATGCGAAGAATTTGTCATAGCACCACAATTAGCATATACAAAGCACATATAGCATATACAAAGCACATAATGTTAAATATTAAATTATTATTGTGATTATTATTACTTGAATTCTCTGGCATAGATTAAGGATTATTTCTGTCCCCACCTGTAGCAGACACACTCCAAGAAAGCTGTATTTTACTGGTAAGACTGAAGAGAAATGTCTTATTTCTTCATATTCATATAGAATTTAGCTTTAGATCTAGTAAGGACTTGAAAGGCTAGCTAGTATGTCTTTGGTGTCCTGATAAAGAAACTGAGGGGAAGTGATTTTCCCAAAATCACATGGCAAGTTTCAAGCAAAACTGGGACGAAAATACAGCCCTTGACCCTTAGTCTAGGGGTCTTTCCTTTATATTCAATAGCATGTCATTGAACAAATCCTGGGATCCAAGATGGGCAGCAAATGTTTGGGAAAGGCTAAAAGATCTCCGGAAGAGGGTGAGTCAGTAAAGCAGAAGGGTTCTTAAGTCCCAACCTTAACCTCACATACATTCCGAGGCAGCAGGGCCAGATTCACCCCCTTTCCCCAGAGCCTCACCTTACATGACAAGATCTCCTCACTACAGCAGTTTTATACCTTAAGTTCCCAGAATTATTCTCACTGAAAAGTTCTGAGTTTTAAGAAAAATTGAAGAGAAATGTTGATGTGTTACCTTAATCCACGCTGTTGCAGATTTGAATGAAAGAGAATTTACTTTTGATTTCACTTTCTGTTCCTGTAAGACCCGGAACTTGGCATACTTACTAATTACAGCACTGGCTGGTTCGTTATAATATAGACGAATGGGGCTTAGGACAAGAGCTTTAGTACAAAAAGCACAAGACTCAGCCCTGCTTCAAGCCCTCCTCCATCATCTGTGATTGGACCATATAATTGTTTTGATTCTGCCCCTCTCCAGTTTGTTACGAAGTCCTTTTGATTCTGCACTTTCGATCTCTTTCTATCCAAATATTTAAAAATTCCCACAGTCATTAAAGTAGTCTAGGTCCTCTGTACTCCTCACAATGGCCTTCAAGTAGGTCTCCCTGGCTCCTCAAGGCCAGGTCTGGCAGTTTACTGGTCTGATGCCAGGCAGCAGATTCATCCTTTACGCTACTGCTTGATCATGCCACTCCCAGCTTCAAACCTTGCCGTGGTTTCCTCCTGTTTACACAGAGATGCTGATCCTCATGTGGAGACCATGGGGGGCCGACTGGCAGCCTATGCGCCCCAGGGACTCTCTCATGCTCGGCCTGGTTATTTAGATCCTAGTGTGTTAAAGGGCAATGCACCCACACAAGTGTTATTCTCAAGGGAAACATAACAAGCTTGATTCTTACTGTCTGACAGACCTTCCTCATATTCTGGTATTCATGCTTCGTCCTGCTGTGCATTGGGGTTTGCAACCTGTGCTTTGGCTCAACATTCAAGTGCTGCCATGATTAGATCCTAGTTAACTCTCAAGCCTTAATTTTTTTTTTCTCTTGCAGTATTTTTTGTCAACCTGGATAAATGATTTGATAAAGCAGAGGAGCAATGTCCAGGAGGTAGCCTCCACCGAGGGCTAGAGGCACCGGGTTGAATGGGGACCCTCAGGGTGGCGTTTCGCGTGTAGTTAGAGGGGCACCATGAGGTATGAAGGTTGGCTGGAAACAGGGGAGGGGGGAGGGGGACAAAGAAGAGGAGGCACCACTGGCTGACTCTTGGGTATCTAATTCTGCAGCAGGGGAAGAAAGGGGCAAAGGATATAGAGGAAACTGGGGGTATTTTGGTGACATTCCCTGTCACAAGGCCCAGCTCAGTGTATGTATGTTCTCAGAACTCTGCCCTGCCCACGAGAACAGAAGCGATGAGGGAGAAGGAAAAAACAGGGTTCTGGGATTGGGCTGCAGAATCCTAGAAGACAAAGTTGGGGAAGGTCCAGGTGACTTCACAGCTTATTATTTAGAACTGTTCCTCACCAAAAAGGGTTTCTAATTTTTTTTTCCTGATAACAGAATAAGCTTTGGGATGTTTGTGGCCCAGGAAATTCACATATCTCACTCTTTCACTTTGATAAGGAAAATATGTGTCCTAAGATGGCCAACCAAGCCAGTGAGAGTCCCAGTCCTTGCCCTGGGGCTCTTCCGGGTTCTACTCCCTGCCCCGCTTAGCGCAGGCACCAAAATTGCTAAGTATGTGGAAGTAGAAGTATATAAATTGCCCCCTTTGTGCTCAGGGCTCAGACCTTTGGAGACCACCCTCCTCTGAGCCTGCTGGTGTTAAATAAACCTCCTATCCTCCAAGATCTCCGGGTGCCGCTTGGTTCTTCCAATGGGCAATCCAGTCCAGGTTCCATAACAATGTTACCCTGGGTTTCTGA